AGGAATCCGGGCAGACCCTGTTAAGGTCAAAGCCATAGTGGATTGGCCGGTTCCGAGGAACCAGAAGGACCTCCGCAAGTGGTTGTACTTGCATAAGTATAGCCACAACAATGCGGAGGTGGCCAGGCCATTGTCGAATCTCCTTAAAAAGGATGTGGAATGGTGCTGGAACACCGAACACCACGAGGCTTTTGAAGCCATTAAGGAGAGTCTCCTTTAGGGCCAATTCTGGCTCTGCCGAATCCTGATCGCCCGTTTAGCGTCGTATGCGACGCTTTGGACTTTGCCATTGGCAGTGCACTTTTGCAAGTCGACTCTGAGGGTAGAGAACGCGTCATCGCGTTTGAGTCTTGCCAGCTGAAAGCTGCAGAGAAGAACTATCCAGTTCATGACAAGGAGCTACTTGAGATGAAGTATGCCCTTGTTAAGCTCAGGGTACACTTGCTGGGCTAAAAGCCGTTTGTAGTCTATACCGATCATGCGTCATTACGCACAGCGACACATTCGCCTCATCTTTCGCAGAGAATGGCTCGTTGGCTCTTCTTTTTCTGCGGACTATAACTTCGAGGTGAAGTAAGCCGGGAAAACAGAATGTTTTGGCCGACGCGTTATCGCGTAGACCTGAGTATGAGCTTGCTCATCTCACTGTTGTGAGTTCGTCAGTAACGGATCGTATCCGTGTGGCGTATGCACGTGATGAGGCATGTGTTGCCATTCTGCAGGCGATGGATAGCGCAGAGTTTGAAAACTCTAAGGTGAAGCTGTCGCCACGTAATCGTGCAAGATTACATCGTTGTCCACTGGCGGATGGTCAGTTGTACTATAGTACAGGGTCGGATGACCAGCCTCGTGTTGTGGCGCCTCATGATGAAGACCTCGAGTATCAGACAGAACGCGTCAACTGCGTTATTGGTGACATGTTTCGCAGTGTTTGTGCTGAAACACCAAAGCAATGGAGCACGATGCTCCCACTTATTGAGTTTGCGTTGAATAACGCGGTGCATGACTCGACAGGCTTCACTCCATTTAATGTGAACGGTTTGGTTTATCCTCGCGTTCCGTTGACGCTACCCCCCTGCAAAATCAGGGCTTAGTGGGGGGAGAGATAGCCGAAGGCTTGGCTGATATCAGCCCTGTAGTGATACGCAAAAAAGTGGAAGCGTTTCTTTCATCGCGCTTTAAAGTATTACGTCGCGTCAAAGACGCTGTGGCTAAAATCCAGGATGTTCAAAAGGAACAAGCAGATGCCAAAGGCAGAAAGAACAAATACGAGTTTAATGTGGGAGATTTGGTGATATTAAAGGCTAGGAATTTACCGACACGTGCAGTGTCTGCGGTATATACAACCAAACGCCGTCCACGCTTCACTGGACCTATCAAGGTCATAAGAAAGAAAGGATTAGCCTATACGCTGAACCTTCCGAAGAAGATGCAAACACATCCTGTGTTCTATGTAGGCTTATTTTTAAATCCATATCTCAACCCTTCCTCGGTAGACTTTGAGGGGTTGTCCCCATATCCCCGGCCTAAGGAGGCGGGTAGTACGGCACCGGAGGTTCCTATGGACGCTGGAGGCGTACCAGGACACCGAAGCTTGGCTTGAGAACGCTCATTAGCCGCAAAGCGATCCGAGGTCTCAGGGCAATAACGCTCAAAGGTTCGACGGCGTCGATCGAAACAGTCATCGAGCGATGACAGGTGACACGTCACCGATCCAAGAGCATCACGCTCCAGGAGTGTCAGGCGACGCTCGATCTCAAAGAGATGAGAGGTCAATGGGTCATCGACCTCCGCCGACGCTGATTGATTAACTGGGTCATCAACAGATCCACGTGGAACGTCTCTTGGCTCGGCGTCGTCACCAGGGTCATACCCAATATTTGGTGAAGTGGAGGGGTTACCCTTAGTCGTACAACTCGTGGGAGTATGAGGTACCCCTTCGGTAGGATTGCCCTGACGCCGTTGACGCTTTCGACCAGAACGGTCAGAAGCGACGATAGCTGTCGTCGGACGCTTCCTAGCACTAGGTGCTGTGGAATTAGGGTCAGTAGGATGATTTGGCTTCCCTCTGGCCTTCAGAAGAAGCCAATGCCGGTACACCACTCGCGTGAGAGGTACGGGCAACAGCTCTAGAAGCTTGATCCCCACAAGTCTTTGACCTATATGTGGAGGGTAACTGACGCTTCGCTTTGATCTTAGCGAAGTTAAAATGTAGACGACGTTCTAACCAAACGTCTTGAGCTTTAGCGCTTAAGCGCAAGTTAGACAAAGTTGAGAGTTTACATGCTCGTTTTACCCAACGGGTAAACTGGTGATCATCTTGCACAGATGTTTCACCTGGTGCAAGCAACACTGGTATGTCGTTCAGTGGGTGCACGGGCACCCCACGTGACTGTCGTGACAGTCGCTCCTGAATCGATTTCATCGTAAACTCCTGCGGAGTAAGGAGCCGCTTATGAGGAGCAGCACGATCCGCAACCTCGCAAGCAGTACGGACCTAGGTACGCAAAGATTGCGATGCAGCTCGTCGAGATTCCTCATTGGGGTCTCGAGGCACGAACCCATAATCACGACGTGAAAAGGTTTGTTTGGGCCGTGCCAAGGCGGCCGCCTGGGCCTCGTCATCAAGTTGACGACGCTGTGCAGTGTCAAGAAGGTTTTTTACCTCTTCTTCGGCACCCTCTCGCAAGGGAAGTGGTGGCGCTTGGCGCAATGTAGTATTTTCCCTTGGAAAAGAAGGCACCTAACGGGATCGGCGTCCCTCTCTCGGTGAGCGTGGTGATCGTGGGGTACGAGACTTAACGGAGACTCGGCGCCGTTGCCCCTAGAAGCAACGTCACTGTCATCGTCCTCAAAGATGTCTTGACGCATGGCAGAATCCATGATGCAACAAGCGCAATAGAGACAAGTGCTTTGGAAGCAAGTGCTAGGCACTTAATGCTGTAAAATCAAGTGTTAGTAAACACAAAAGGGTATTAATACCAAATGCTTGGCACGCAACGCTTATAAGCAAGTGTCGTAACACTTATGCTTTAGCGTAAGTGCGATGCACTGTATGCTCAAAGAGCGAGTGTCGTAACATTAGGATGCCTAGAAAGCGTATGTGCAAAGCACAGGTGCTCAAGGAGCAAGTGTAGTGAAACACTAAAGCTTTGTTCGCAAGTGCGAGGCACTTGTTGCGAGGCAAGAAAAATGGGAAGAAAATGAAATCGATGACTCCCATTAAGTGCAAAAAATCGTGGGTACGCCGGGCCCCACGAAAATTGGAGGGGGTGTAACGGGGTTACACGGTGTGTATTGTACATACACACCTGCCACACCAATGTGGTGTGGCTGTACCTTGGGTACAAGAGTAGGCTCGATGTGACCGTACCTAAGGTACGATGAGTTGCATTGTCAGAGAGCCACGTGCAAGAATGATAGGCTAATAGAGCTATAGTAAATAGTGACTAGCACTAAGTATAAAGTAGGTGCTTCTATATTTAGTGCTAGAAGATAAACATAAATATAAATCAGTTTCAAACCTGCTCTGTAAGCATCACTGCTTGAGCATTCTCTTCCTTGAAAGACAGGAAGTTGTATCTTGGATACTGGTCTCTTTGAAACCCGGTTGTGACAACCGATAGGCATAAGCTTGCGCGCTAGCCTAGGAAGGGTTAAGCACCCTAAGACATATAAGCTCTTGGAGCTTGTCTTCTTCTGCACGTAGTGCATAAGTAGCTTGGCTACAAAGAGGGTCAACCTTAATATCTTGAGGCCATAGAGCACCACATGCAAGCTCAGTAAAACCCACTTGGCAAACAAATTCGATTTTCCACTAGGTAGCCACTTCTAATACCATGGTAGAGCTCCTTTCCATCAAAAGGTTGCAAAGCCAACTTGCATTACTGACCTCCCGGCGCCTTCCATCTGGCGTCAGGGCGGTATCAAATACGGTTTCCGTACTCCCGCACCTCGGTGCAGGTGCACCTTGGCCTTGCATCCCAGGCTCTGGTGGCTTGGCCATTTCCAAGTTTCCACCAACCTGAACCGGCGCTTTCACCACATTCCCAGGTAAAGCTGGACGCTGCGCACCAGAATTGGTGGCCAGGGAGATACTAGGTGAAGAATTGCGTTCCAAAGTCTAAAGTTTACGCCTGCCCAACTCCCAATACCGAGCCAAAATTACTCGACTTTGCGTAAACCTCCCGTTCTTGCCCGACTTGTCCAGACTATGGGTATGTCATCCTGCATATGCGCTCAGTCAAGTCCCGAACATTACGAGCATCTTGTCCAAGGCCGCCGCGGGAACTGCCGATATTTCTGCAAGGTCTTGGCTGCCGTCCATATTGAGAAATCGTCAAAGACCTCAACTGGTGCAGCCACTCCGGCTGCTTTACCAACACCCTTTGTGCAATCGTTGCAAGTTGTCCATCCGTTCTGCATCCCACCAGCGCGTCTCAGCCCATATAGTAACGAAAACAGGCGCGGGCGTACCTTACCTGCAACAGGTCTTGCCGTTGCAACTGTACCCGATACGAACTGTAAAAATCATTCAATTCTACCACATTGTGAAAGAATAGTGGTCTCTTGCGTAGATTGACGCTTTCTTATATAATTAGTGCCTTCATGTTGTCGGTGTTTTGCACTTTTTACGATGTTTGTCCAAAACCTCGTAAAACGCTTTTATAGTTTTAGCATTTATTCCATGATGGGCACTTGCTCCCTTTGATGATACTCACTTGATTCAAACGTGATGGATACCCAAGTGATTTGGTCGCGAGGAAGTCGAAGACAGTACAACCATATTTGTTTGTACCATGTGTCAGTAAGCCGCCAGGGTATGCCCCTATCCCGTCAGATGTTAACAATGTAGGACTATATCGCGTCGATGTATGACTAATTGGCAGTGTCTATCGTTTCTTTGGTCGCGCTCTCCCACTTTTGTCAGTCTAGAAAACTTCCAGCAGCGACCAAGTCAGTCAGTCACTCTACACATACAAAAGTAACGGGAAAAAACCATGATTTATTATGACACGGTGCAGTTATGGTCCGTGCTGATGCGGTGGCATGGGTCCGCATTGAACGGTCAAGCTCCGCTGCGTGCGCTGATTATGGCAATCATTGCACTTGTTGTTGCAACTGTGAACCATTACCACCCATTTGTGGTTCCTACGCGTGAATCAACGGCATTCACGGATTCCTTAACAGTGTTCAACACGTTCTTGGGACTAATCGTATCGTTTCGCATGAATTCCGCCTTCACCCAGTGGCGCGCCGGTGTTGTAGCCGTTACCTCGCTTTCCGAGACCGCACGCGATATCGTGGGCTCCGGTTGTGCGTATGTCAGCACCACGATAAAGACGGAAACCACAGAGGTGGTGAAGACTGTCACAAATACTACGGAGACGGAAATTCTGTCGCCAAGTAGCAAGTGCCATTCATCAACTATTGATTCAAAGGTGTCGACGATCCCTCAAGACGTTCTCGAAAAGTGTGCATTTTTCACGGAGCTGCGTCGATTGGTTTTTCTGTATATTGCGATTGTGTTTCATGATTGTCGTGGGCTCGATGGAATTGGCAAGTTGAAAGAATCGGGCGTGCTGACAGACACGGAGTACAACGAATTGTGCGCATGCGGTTCGGAGTTTAAAAGGCAAGTCAAGGACAAAGAGTCGTACCGAGCAATTGTGCGTCGTACACCGCACAAATTGCGCGCCACAATCACGGAGTTATGGCTTAAGAGACTAGTGCAAGTTGCCACGAATAGAGGGCATTTGACGCTTCAAAATTCCAACAACTTGCAGATTAAACTAGCACGACTGCCCAATTTGTACACAACGGTGTTCAATATTGCCAACATTCCGATCCCTTTCAACTACATGCAGTACCTTCAATTCCTGCTTACCGCGTACATGCTTCTCTATACGTTTGTTATTGTACCAAGATCTGGATTCTATACTCCGTTGTGGGTCTTCATGTGGGGCACTTTCCTCTTCATGGCAGATGAAGTTGCCATGGAGATCGAGTGTCCATTTGGACTGGACGCAAATGATATTGATTTGGAATCTCGACTGCTGCAGATTGAGGAAGAACTTACGGTGCTTATCCGCAGTCAGTATTACTTCGTTTCGGGTGGTACAAGCCTGACGCGTGTTTCAGATATCGTCGTCCCGGAAGAACGACAGCAGTCTTTGAAAAGGTCACCGCTTCAAAGTGAGTTTTCGTTCCACCAGGGTCGTGTTTCTCCATCGCACGGGACTATGCTTCAACAGGGTTCCTTGCCCGAGATAAACGAGTTTACGAAACTCATTCAATCTCCGTCAGCGACTAGTAGAAGCAAGACAAGCGAGTACGGATCTGCGGATTCGGCGGCATAGCAAGCAACCAAACCCGGCCAGTATAGTGTCTTTGAATGCGACATAGTCACAACCAATTAGTTTTATGCAAGTAACACTTTCTATTGTTGGTGTAGTTGTCTTTCGAATTGTTAACAGAAAAAACATTGCAAGCATTTTGACGGCATATAATGAACTGCGATCTGCTGCTTAGAGACATAAAGTATGTTCTTGACGTGGCATGTTGCGGCTGTTTACAATGCCACATTTGTATCTCAAATCAATATGTATGTATGTGAATACGCGTTACGCGAGCCGTCTTGCCACCGAAGTGGCTCAACTTCCGCATGCGTCAGGTTATCTCTCCTTCTCTACATTTCTCTCTACTCTCGACAGGGTCCATTAAGCGGCGCGCGCTATAAGCGCCGCGCTGAAGTCCGTCCAGACTGCACGATCCTGCGTACATTAGCGAAGGAAGTACAGGTCTAGGGCCAGTCAACGGCGGTGTCCAGCGTAGTTTCTTGCTTAATCCCTTGGATGGCTACCTCGTCAACAGGGTCCATGGAGGGTCCTTGTTGCTTGCATCGTGAACAAAGAATGACGTGAGGGTACCAAAGCGGAGATGCCTGGACTTCGGGGCTTCCGGCGTGGCGGTGTAGATCGTGGCGGCTTGACTGGCAGCTGGGGAATGAGCAACAAGAAAGAGGTGTGTAAAGGGAGAGGAAACCCGTCCAAACTGACGGATGCCGCGAAGACCCGTCGGAGGCCTGAGCTAGCATCAGCTAGCCCAAGCCTTCTAGGATTCAAATCAATAATTTGAAGTATATCGTACGCCTACGTTTTTTGTTACAAGCTTTTGGGCAGATTTCGAAATAGAGTATTTGATGTAGAATTATCGAACTCTATTTCAAATCTTGTAGCTCTATTTGTTTAATACCTATTCAAAGCGAGCACCAACGCTCAAAATAAAAAAAAGCTCTTCAAGTGTCGGGTGGCAATACTACAGAATTTTGTATCGCAAGTCAAAGAGACAACAAACCGTAAAAATTGAACATGGTCATGGCTAACGACGGTAGCGCTGCCGAAGTAAAGCGTTTGAACCAGGAATTGGAGGAACGTCACTATGAGTTCCGATCCAATTGCAACGATGGAGATGGTGATGCGAGTGCGTGTCACAGTTGGGGTGAGTGGCTGGCGGTCGTAGACAAGAATTACAGAGACGCAGGTAACGACAGCTCTGTTATTTTCTATTGATTTATACTGTACTGTATAATGTTGAGTCGCTTGTTGCCGTACTGCATTTGATTGTTCAGCTAAAATGTATGAGCTCAATTGCATTAAGAAAGAATATCCAGCTTCGTGTTTTAACCTTGGACGACTGAAGCGTACGCTCGACAAATCTCTTGTAGAATTACGATGCTACCTGTTTACCCTTTGCATGTTCTTCTCTCTTCTAACCGTCTATCTTCTCTTTTGTCTGTAATATTTCAGTTGCTGGGAAAGGAGTGGAGCAAAACGATTTTGAAGCTTTCAAGCTTTTTGGTGAGTTGACGTTCGGTGACACTTTGACGTTAGTGCAGTGACTCTGACGTTGTAAGTGTATAGATAAATCGTGTGGGAAGGGCCATGCTGCTGGTTGTCACCATGTGGGTTTGATGCAAACGCAAGGAGTTGGCTGCGAAAAGGTCTGTTTAATATTGTCAACGTCCGTCGTGATTATGTCGCGTTAACTGTAAACTTGTTACCGCTGTTGCTGCTTAGGACTTGGCTAAGGCTCTTATTGCTTTCAAGAAAGCTTGCGAGCATGACGATGCTAACAGCTGCAACCGCGTAGCGAACATGTATCTATCCTCTAGAGTGAACAGTCCTATTAAGCGCAATACTTTGCAGGCGAAGACTTACTTAGAAAAGGCCTGCGACGCCAACTTTGCCCCTGCATGCCATAATTTGGCTGTGATGTACAAGAAGGGTGATGAAGGTATACCGGAGGACGAGGACAAGTACCACGAGTATCGTGCTAAGACGGAAAAGCTCATTGAGCAGGCAGGTGGCATATCTTCGATCAAGTCGGCCTAAGTTAATCAGTCCGCATACAAGCCATCTTTCGCATACCGAAGAGATCACAGTGGCAAAGTCAAAAGAGCATTTGGACACGCCACATCTACAGACATTGGATCTACCCAAGACTTATTCGATGTTAAGTCGTCACCCGTTTTGGATTGTAGCAGTAGATGCGGAAGATACAGATCAAGTGCTTTGCTTGACGTGACACTTCTAAATCGACTGCACTGGTCGGTATTCTAGCCCTTCACTCTTTCTGTTTGATACGTTCGTGCAAGATGACGTCTCTGAAGACGCCACACCTAGACATAGCTAGTGATTGGTACTCGAAAGGTTTGATCAACCTGAAAATCCTATAGGCTGACCGTTCGTATTCGTCGCGGAGTGCAATTTGCTGAGATGAGCATCTGATGTGCCCTTTGATGTTAAAAGAGAACTCGGGCAAACGTCGATTGGAACGCTATCCGCTCACTCTGTTTCGGAAATGTCCCTGACATTCTCGTGTCACTTCTCATAGAACCGTGTCGACAGGTTGTGCCCCGTCTGGTACAGTATGGACATCGTAAGCACGTTAAGAACCATCTTTGTTTGCTGTTATTCTGCAATGTTGCTTCTCTGATTTGGTATCTCGTTGCCGCCGCACAGACTACCCACATCAAATAACAACCTGCTTCTCGCAACGTCGGACAAATCCCCTTTGCTACCAAGTGTCAGAAAATCAGGGACACAGTCGTCATTACCAGTTGGTGAAGACACTTGACTTTTCTCGAAGTCATCACTTACGCCGTTTGATATAGTGTCTTCTCCAACAATTATAGTAAGCTGGTTATTTGACGAATATCGGCGGGCTGGCATCCTCACTGAGTCCATTATACTGTCGGTAGACTCGTCTTGGATCCTGTTGTCATGCGATTTTCTTTCGTGAGATATGGATAGCGTCTCCTTACTGGCAAGCCTTTCAGCATAAGCCGCAGACACATTTCCACTACTTTTGGTACCAGTCAGTGAAGCTGTTTTCGTCAAAGTCCCAAAAGTAGCCAAAGCCTGTCGCACCAAATCTTGGCCACTCTCTGGGTTTGAACGGGTTTCCAACTTATGTCGCTCCAGCGCTTGTAGGTGCGTTTTCTTGATTGGTTCCCACTCCTTCGCAACAAGCGCATTAGCTGTATTTTCACAGTCTACCATCTTCTTCAAAACTTCAAATGGCAGCACTTTCAAGTGGCCGTGAAGAGCTTGTTGGACAATCTGGACGTTGTCCTCTGACAAGCGTGCGCTTTGTGCTGGTACGTCATACCGACAGGTAGACTGCTCAAGCTGCAAGAGGCAATCAGCTATGCGTTTCTTGACAAGATCCTCATCATGCTGGAATCGACTTCGAACATACTTGTGTTGAGGGATGGAGCTGTATTTCTTCGGATCTTGAGAGTTACTTGCTGCCTTGCTTGCCGCCCTAGGTTACAGAACACATTCACACGGAGTGAGTAATTGCATTCCTTCTCTGCACTGGTTACAACATTGCTTACCTTTGCGCACGTTCAGCTATAATGTCAAGGAGATCTTGTCTGTTAATCTGTCGCTTATCATGTTCCAGTACATCAGAGACAGGAGATGCAGCATGTTTAGCAGTCTTGCTAGCTTTGACTAATTCTTGAGAGAACAGTCGAAGGGCTATGGGACTGGCTGCTGGTGTCAGTGTGGAATCTAAGTCGCTCTTAATGTCTATCTGAACTTCCTCATCTATCAGGGATGGCGCCACGAAATCAACTGTTTGAATACCCACATCTTCGTAAATCAAAGCCAAAGGGTCTGTTCCTTCGTCCTTAAGCATTGGGGTACACAATTTAATTAGTACCTCGCCCGAGTATTCCTTCGAGCTACTGATCTCGTCGCTTTGCACAGCCTTACTTGTCACCACAGGTAGCCAAGTTTGAGAACTTTGGTCCCGCTGCATAACAGCATAAACCTTGTGTGACACAGCGACCGTATCTGCTAGTTCCTTTTTGCTCCTTTGAGATGAAATATGTGAGGCCTGAACTGTCTCCAGTTCCTCTCGTGAGGCTTCTAGGTCAGCGTTTATCGCTCCAAGCGTCAGCTGTAAGTCGTTGATCTCCATCTCGTCACCATCACTTTTGTTAGGCAAACCTATCTTAGTCATAGCTTTCATCATCATCATCATCTTCATGTTGAGAAACTGAATCTGTTTCGTTAAACCAGCTAGCTCCTCCTCAGCCTTTTTCTTTTGCAGAAAGACTTCACCCAGCTTACGTTGCAATTCTTCATGGCATAGGTAAGCTTTCGACTGAGAAGCTCTATATCGGTCTGCTAGCTTTGGATCAGCATCTAGATGATCGTATATTTGCTTAATCTGTTGCTGTACCCCTTTGGCAATCGACCGTAGGTTTACTTCTTGTTCCTGCAGCACTCGCTCCACTCGTTGCACCAGTTTCTGCATCGTAGCTTCCGACACCGCCGCCGCAATGCCTGTATCTTCCCTATCTTCACCAACGTTTTGCCTCATCTTATGTTTTACCGGCGTCTTCACTTTCACATCTTCTTCACTATGCCGTCTTACAAGATGTTCCTCCAAAAACTTCACTGACGAAAACAATTGTCCACAAAACTCACAGGCTTGATTTTTATGCTCAATCGGTCTCAACCTCTCATCGATTGCACAGTGATCATCGTTATCTTCGCTCATTACTCGTCCGTTTTTCTTTGCTCGTCTTTCCAATACCATCTCCGTTAGCAATGTTGCAATAACATCCACTGCCGACGATGAAGCCCTGCATGCCCAAGAAATAAAAACAAATCACATCCACAAGTCACTAATTCAGCAATACAAATGCTCCAATAACCGCGTTAAAATGTCACCCGTGGATCTGCAATAAATCAGCAATTTTTTGCAGCACATGATAGAGTTTTTTCACTTGCTCGTCACCACTACGCGCCTTTGCCTTCCACTTTTGAGAGCTCCGAAGCGATATATCTCGCTCTGTCTCAACTTGCTGCAGCTCTTTACTCAGATGTTTCAACACATTGCCGTCTTTAGCACGCATAGAGAGCAGATATTCCATTGATAGCTGTAGAACGTGCACGAGGAACCAAGCGTCGCGAGTCCGTGAGGCTTTTACACATGCAGGCAGACGAGCAAACGTCACGTGCAGTGCATACGGCTCCAACACAGCGGGATCACCTTTATGAAGGACATCAGACAAGTTACAGGCGCTTAGGAGCTGCCAATTGAGCTCCTCGCTGCGCTTACACCAAGTAAATCGCTGCATGTTCTATGTGTGAGTAAGTTACAAGTACTTCGTGTCTCGCTACTATCGTTCAATTTATGCGTTCTGATTGGCTGAAGCATGTTGATGTATCGTTTGTTATTTTAACCAATCCTCGATTTTTAAATCTTAAGAGCTTGTTTTAAACCAATCGAAAACGATTACATTATTGGCTGGTGTCGCGATTCCATCCTTAGTCACTTAAACGCTTCGAGTCGCTATGGCTGCACTTGCTGCTTCTTCGCTCAATGGCGTTAAGATTTATAATTTATCATCAGGTAAGACATTACCACAATGGTTGGCTGAAAAAGGTGGTAGTCGCAAAGCTTTGGCGAAAGACGAGGATTATCGTCGTCGTGTAGAGCTCTTGCAGGATTGTCACTTCCCCGCTGCTTCACAGCGCGTGCGCATGTCTTCAGATGGCAATTATGTGGTAGCTACTGGAGTTTATCCTCCTTCTGTTAAGGTTTTTGATGTGCGTGATTTGAGTCTCAAGTTTCAGCGAGGTCTGGACGCTGAAGTTGTGCAATTTGACATCCTGTCATCAGATTTCGGTAAACTCGTGTTTCTCCAGGCAGACCGTACTTTAGCCTTTCATGCACCCTACGGGCTGCACTACAGCATGCGGATACCCAAATTTGGTCGTGATATGATATATCATCGCGAGAACTGCGAGCTATACGTTGCTGCATCCGGTTCGGATGTTTACAGGATCAATCTGGACCAGGGTCGGTTTGTTGCTCCCTTGGAGCTGGAGTCGCCGTCCTCAGCAGCTAATGTGCTGCATTTGAACCCTATTCATCAGCTAATTGGAATTGGGTGTGAAGATGGGGTAGTGGAGATGTTTGATTCTAGGAACCAGCATCGTGTGGGCAGTCTGAATGTTGCGGCACACTGTGCATCAAAAAATTCGGACAAGCAGCTGGAAGTTACGGCATTGAGATTTGACGATGACGGACTGACATTTGGTGTTGGCACGTCGGAAGGGCAGTGTTTGTTGTATGACTTGCGCTCGTCACGACCGTTGCTGGAAAAAACTCACCAGTATGGACTGCCAATTGTAAATCTTCAGTTCCATGACTATGCGCAAAAAGTAATTTCGTCAGACGCCAAGGTGATTAAGATTTGGAATCGTAAGGATGGCGCTGTGTTCACGAATATAGAAACGCCTGCTGAAGTGAAGGATGTGTGTGTTGTGGACGGAGCACAGGGAAAGTCTGGCGTCTTGCTTGTGGCAGGCGAGCAGGAGCGTGTGATGAGCTACTATGTTCCAGAGCTGGGCATCGCATCGAAGTGGTGCTCATTTTTGGATTCGCTCACTGAGGAGCTTGAGGAGGAGGCACAGGCCACAGTCTACGACGACTACCGGTTCGTTACGCGTGCGGAGATTGCCACATTAGGCCTGGATCATCTTGTTGGTACGCCGCTACTCAAAGCCTACATGCACGGTTTTTTTATGGATGCTCGTTTATACAACAAGGTAAAGGCTGTGTCGGAGCCGTTTGCGTACGATGATTGGCGCAAGAAGAAGCTTAAAGAGAAGGTTGAGGCAAAACAAAGCAACCGCATCACCATCCAGCGTCGACTGCCCAAGATTAATCGCGCTACGGCAGAGCGCATTCTACAAAGTGATGCCAAGCGAAAGAAAAACGGCACGGAGGCCAATGGCGAGGTGGCCGATGCCGACAAAATATTCTCGAATCCGTTGGGCGATGAACGTTTTTCGCGCATGTTCACGTCCACGGACTTTGAAGTAGATGAGGAGAGTGAAACGTACCGTATGCTGCACCCGAACGCTATCAATACGAAGCAACAGCGCAAGCAAAAGGAAGATATGGACAGTGATGCTGCTACTGACGACGACGAGGTAGGCAGTCGTTTTGCTCGTGTCGACGACGAAGATGAGGTGGAGGGTAGACCAAGTGACGAATCTTCTGACGAAGAGAAGGAACTAGAAACTCAGGAGCGTGCGCCACAGCATGCGGCTCCAAAGGTCAAGCGAAAACGAGCACCCAAGTTTTACGTGATTGCAGAAGGTGAAAAGGTGGGTGATCTCATGGCTTTTGGCTCATCAAGTGACCGTGCAGCTCAGCGTGAGAAGAAGCAGCTGGCTAAAGTGCCACTTGTAGAGCGGTTGCGCATGCAACGCGTGACGGAGAAGGAGCGAAGTGCATTCAAGAAGGAGGAGACTGCAGGTGGAGGTTACATTCGCGAGATGTCATTCGTTCCCCAGGCCGACCTTCGGAAGCAGCAGCGTGCTCGTGATCGCAAAAATGGTGACGATGGAGATTCAGCATTTGATAATGACAAGCGACGGAAGAAACGTGGTGTCGGTGACCTAAAGTTTTCAAACTCTGGAGGGCGAGGTCGCTTTCGTCGATAAAAAGCGATCGACACACAATTATTGCAGTGCTACCAAATAGATTTCGCATCACCAGTTCGTATCAAACCAACAACTTGTAGCTTGTCTTTCATGATAAGGTTAATGTACATTGCTATGGTCGTCGATGGCATTGACCTAGGATCAAAGACTGTGGTGGTTTACTGAATGTGGATCAGCTCCAATCTGATTGAAAGGAACATCACCAAAGGCCATGAATATTGCAGCTCTTGAGTTGAATACAGATTGCTAGTTTTCTGTCTTGTAAAGAAGGATGATGGCCCGCGTATACAGCAAAAGGGCCCTCTCTTTTGTGAAGCACTGTACACAGCAAGGTATTTGTAACTTGTTATCAGCTTGACCAATCTTTGGTTCATAAATACGTTATAGTCGGATCAGTCCAAGTCAGTAGCACAATGTTACAGCGAGTATTATCTCAAGAAAACGTAGACGAGCGTCGACGTGCGTTATTTCACGCCAGCGGCATCACAACGTACCGCCAATTGCTTCAACGCCCTTTGTGGGATGTCGCGCATGTTGCCGACCTATCAGTATACGAAACCGAGGTCTAGAAGTCACATACTTCTTCACTTGACATTAATGCGTCATCATCTTTCTGGAAGTATAATGCTGTTGTCGTGTATTTGGATAGAAATTATTGACAAAGCTTTCGATTCGACTGGCCCCAGCAAGCCAATCGGTAGTGACAAGCTGACATGTCCTGCTGTCATGAGTTGCAATGGACAGGTGCTAACACACTCTGTTCGTATGCTTTCAGGCGCTCGGCATGTTTTTGGACAGTGCCAATCACCCGACATTCTTGCGCACAGGGCTTCCAGGCATCGACCAGGCTCTAAATGGAGGACTTCATTGCCGAGCGTTGTCAGAGGTGTAGATTTGTTGTTGATGATTGTATGTGTGTATTCTTCACAGCTCATGAGATGGTGTTGTAAACAGTTTGTGGGCACTGCTGGAATAGGCAAGAGTCAAGCAGCCATGACACTTGCAGTAGTGTGTGCGCTGGACTATCCGGAAAACGGGGTCATATACTTTGACGTAGAGCACAACTTTAGTGCTAAACGGTAAAGCTTGTTTGCAATGCAAAATCTGTGTATGATGGTGTACTTATAGTGATGCAGATTACTACAGATAACCATTACGCGGATTCGACAAACCTATGCAGGTCAAGAAGCAGACATCAACGAGCTAGCGGCAGCCGTCGTACGACGCATTCGTGTTGTCAAAGTTAGCTCTATCGCAGCGTTTGTTGCCAAGTACGAAATCATTGGAGCTTGAATGTCAACACCATAGTTATGTCGTTTTGTGGTGATGAACAGATTCAAGGAGGTAGAAAATGCTATTTGCTCGCTCAAGATCAAGCTTCTCATTATTGACTGCGTGACAACGCTTTTTCTTAAGGTAGCTGCTACAGCCGTGTTGGACATCCTATATTGCACCATCGTTTTGACGACGTTGATGCTTGCTTTTGTCAGGCGAATGGCTTAACTCACGCGCAGCGCCAGCATCAGATGCTGCGGTTGGCAAGAGACTTGAAGTGAGTCAAGCATGCTTCTATTGCTTCTTCGCATAGTGCTGCTAATGACTTTGCCACGCATTTAGACTTTTCGCTGACACGTACGAAGTGTTCATTGTTGTCACAAATCGTGCAACTACAGTTGAAGGCGATAGTAAGCTTCCACGTTAGTACTGAGGTTCTTCGGACGATTACAGATATGAATGCATTTGCTGCTTGTGTGAAGGTGGATTGTATACAAAGCCGCAGCTAGGTGAAAGTTGGGCGCACTGTGTCACCACTAGGGTCGGTGCATGAGCGCTCGTTTTATCATGTGCTCAAACATATCTAACATATGTCAGCTGCGTTGTAGTTTGTCATGGAGCGGCGTTCTTTGGGTCGCGCAATGACGATTATGAAGTCGTCCGTAGCAGGATACGTCGTGCAGCCATTTACAATCAAGGTGTGTGTGTCATCGACTGTTGCAAGGCCGTAGACACGACTTCCCAACGTTTGTTCATTTGCAGGAAGGCGGTATTGTAGCTGTTGAAGACGCAAGTAAAGCAGCAGCTTCAGACGACTTTACCATTCACGACGAACTCCTGAGTGGTATGGCACTTACAGGTCTACCTATGCTAGATCCCTGCAATGTACAGTTAACACAGCCGGAAAACGGAGAGGACCCTGATACAACGCAGTGTGTTGAGCAAAGCGACGAAGATCCTCCGTCATCTCAATCGTCCCATCCAGGAAAAGTGCAAGAAACCGAGTTTAGCAGCTTTGACATCGTGCCCGATTCCAACTCCGATGAAGATCATGAGTCGTTCGACTGGCATAACGTCACTGAAGAGTAAACTGCTGCAAAGCCGGCAAATCGACCGCAACAAAACAGATATTGATCAACGCCACCGTGGAAAAAAAGCTTAGGAGGGTGTATTTAGTCCGACGCACGCCCAAATAGCGGCTTACGCCTTAAGAGCGTAGCGACGCTTTGGGTAGTACAATTCCTTCTTTTGTTGCTTAAGGGTCTTAATAGACTTCTCGTGCTTGGACAGCTGACGACGAATAGCGCGTGTTTTCTTACGACGCAAATCCAAAGGCACGTGCTTCTTGCTCCCGAGGGCGGCACGGAGCTTGGCCTTTTGGTTCTGGTTGTACACCGTCAATACACGAGCAATAGACTTGCGCACGACGCCAATCTTACTCAGCTTCGAAGCAGCGCCACCAATGATCTTTGACACACGGAGCTGGGCTAGCTCCTGCTGAAAGTCGTCTAATTGACGAAGAAGCTCAGTCTTGCTCTTCGTGCGGAGTTCGTGCGCCTTGATCTGGACTGCAACAAAAACACACAACACAAACAACATTATCAGCCACAGCATGTCAGTTTTTTTGAATTCAATTGACGCTGTAGTGTTGAGAAGGACTGATAGGAACCACATGATCGAGACTTTATGGCTCTAGCTAGTAACTTTTTGGCTCTGATTTTTGTATGAAAGAGAATCGTGTCAAAGTCCGTAGTGCATACAAACTCGAGATCTCTCGCATTCCTTCTTGTCTGTCATTTTATTTCTATTACAGCGTCTCATTGTACTTTTATAGTACACTCACCCATTTGTTTCCTAGCTGATGTCGATAGCTTCGAACTTCCCTTTTGTTGCGTCGTCAAGGCAAATGAAGCAGACCAATGGTTGGCGGCTACCCGAATGACTGGTCGCTACTACTAATTCATTTTGACTTCCAGGACTGCATACTTCAAGCAACATTCAAAACCTGCCAGGCATAGAAAGGTCAGTGTAGTTTAGACAACATTCCTTATCAGAAAAGCATTCTCTTAGCAAAACATTCAAACTGTCAATGAATGAATAATTGCAAGCAAAGAGCATTGAATCTTATCAACAGCTCTATAGCTGCATATATTGCGATACCAAGCTTCATATGTTTTCTCGCTCAATTGCTTTTTTTGCCCATTCACACTTGCATAATCATGATAGGAAAGTCTTTTTTTCATTTCTCTTGATCATTGTGGCTTGCATGAGTTCATTTGCCTACATTCACATCGAGCCTAGTGTTTTCTCTCTTGTATTTATCACCATGTATCGCTGAAGAAACACAAGTAATCTACCAAGAAAGCACAGCTCTTGATGTCTTACATTTCCTACTCATCGAGAGAGCACTGTTTGCCTGATTGTTTCTTTTCCTATATTTTCAGGACATTGATCTAGCACATGCAAATATTACCATCGAGTTAGTAGCCACTAGTAGCTTTGCAACACAATCAACAGTCAAACCGTCGTTTAACTCGGTTTTATTTGGTATACTATCAAATTTGGTCACAGGGTTTTTTACTTACAGCCGTACAATCAGCACGTTTCAATCATAAAACACGACATGATCTGCTCACGTTTGCTCTCCATTGTGGCTAAGAATGCACCCACACCTTCCATAGTTTTTCCCTCGATTGCTCGTGTGTATTTCTCCATCACACATTGTTCATGTTGCTTCGTTCTATGCTTTATTTTTTTCCCCACTAACAGAGACTTGTTGTGTGTGTCATTCATTCCTGTTCCAGTTCGACAGCCTAATGTCCTATCATGTGGTAATTGGTTCGCTGGTAACGAAACAAATTCTCTTTCCATGGAACTTTTGAACCGAAATGCTCGTCGTCCTAAGAAGGTACAAAGCAATTCATTTCTATCTGACGTTTAAAGAACGAGAACTAAACTATTACTGCTACTTTGATAGGCAAACCATGGTAAGCGTCCATGCTCACACTACCGCCGTCGCCAGAAACGGCTTGGTGCTAAAAAGGCATAGACACGAAAGGGTTTATATCCGTAGAGCTGTAATCATTCAATCCTGATACAAGTACTCCTTTTTCCATTCCACGTCATCGATACCTTGTCATCAAAATCAGACACCTTGAGGCACGTTGACATACATCTACATTTAGCATGAGTTTTGCCCTATCCTATATACTACACTCGATATTTCAGCCCCCCAAGCGCCAGTCATGCCTGCGACATGGTCTCATCACCTTGAGCTCGATTTTCTTGCTCCTGCTGACGCTCGCTCTGCATTTGACGATACTGCTGAGTAACTGCTGCCCGTCGGCGATCGTCCATAAGCTGTTGCTGCAACTGCAATTTGCGAACGTGCTCACGAAGATCATGACAGCGTGGCACCTTGCATTCATATTGGCGACACTGACGGGCGTGAAGCTGCAAAAGTGCCCACACTCGCCGACAGATCGTGCAACCGCCGTACGCTCGCTGCTTGCACTGTGCTCCGTGCCGCATCAGTTCCTTCATCTTCTCGCAATTTGACGATCCGCAGTTGCCATCAGCGCACGAGCTCGAGTGAACCAGCAACTGCATGTGTAAACGAACGTTCTTCGCACGCTGTTCGCGAAGACGTCGCTTCTCCGGTGTAAGTGCCGGAGCTCCTCCAGAGCCACCAGCACCACCTGCAGCACCTCCGGCACCTATGCCGCTCGTAGGCACCATTTCCAGCGGGTGTTCGTGCTTCTCCTTGGCATTGCAAGTATCGCACACGTCGAAGTCTGGGCACGTGTGGCAATGCCAGCGGTTGCCCATCACAATATCGCGCGTACAAGCGTTGCACTCATACACGTAAGCGTTCGGGTTCGGGTTGCCCAAGTGATATAGAGCCATCATGGACGAGTGCTTTGCGCGGCGTAGTTCGTCGAACTGGTAATGATTGCCCTGACATAGGCTCAAAAAGGCTTGTCGCGTGTCAAAAAACTCACTGTCGTTTATATCGTCGGGGTCTGTACAGCGCTCTGGCAATGTCACGGTTTCTTTTGTAAGCGCACCCAATCGTGTCTGCAGTCGGTGGTGAGCAGCTGACGAGCCTGTAGCGCATGCAACCTTCAGCTTTTGAAAGCATCCATCGCACAATGCAGTTTGCACCACCTTCGGGTTTAGACCATGTTCGGTCTTCACAGCATGGTCACGCCACAACGTACCCTGCACCACAGACGTATTGCACACCCGACAACAAGGCACTAACTTCACTACCAAAAAATCATCCTTCATAGGCTCGATCACCTCGCTCAATTTTTGCATAAGAGGGTCCGATAATTTTCGGTCAGGTGTGTCTAACGACTTCACGGTAAGCGTACGATTGCTCGTCGATAACGTCTCCTCGTGGCCGTCATCGTCTTCACCTTCGTCGCCGGATACCTCTCCACCTGATACGGTCTTGCGACGTTTGGCCTTCTTCGATTTGGACTTCTTGGTTGCTGCTTTCTTCGTATCCGAATTCTTGCGCTTCTGCGACTTGGAACCACGTTTGTTTACAATCTTCTTTGGCTTTTCGGCATCCAGCTTTTCGATCAAGTCTTCTACCAGACCGACCCAGTAGTCGCCTTCGAAGTACGGTAGTGCGCATGGAGTATTGTCGTTGCGCCAGTAATCGTCGTACATGTTCGTGATTTGCCACACAACCCCCTCCTCCTCTGCCTTAATCAGCATATCCACATACCAAGCTCGCAATCGATCAGACTTTGGCGTTTTCTGTGCCTCCGGATGACAGTACAAAATATAGTCGTCTCCTTTAAGGGGCGGGCATGCCCACAAGTGTGCCGTGTGGAAGCCACGTTGCTTGACAAAGTCAAAGTATGCAATCAACAGTTCATGGTACACTTTTGTTCGAAGGTGCGCTGGCTTAAAGTAATTCACAGAGTCCAAATACGAGATGTAAACACGTCGCGAGTTACAATCTGCTTCTTGCTCGTCGAACTCATGAACGTACATACCAAACAGTAAGACTGACACGCCGTCCAGCTCCTGGAACATACAGATGCACTTGGACTTGAATCGGTGCTCAGACGTATACTTGTGAGAATCTTTGTACCGCTGAAACATCTTGTCGCGCACCATCAACTGTTTCTCAATGTTTGACACCAAACGCACAGCGAGGCCATCGGCGGTCTCTACGTCTTTTATATCACGCTGTGTCCATTTTGCCTCGTCCTCGCGCTCTGCTTGCAATGACTTTTTTATGCGACGTTCCAGATAATCTGACAGCTTCGTGCGCGGTAAATCTTTTGCACTAAAGGCATGCCGGCCGATTCGATACTTCTCTGGCTCGCTTTTACGATGCTCTAGTAAACATTCTGGGCACAAAAATTCGCTTCCGGGTGATGTAGTAATAGAGTGGACCGTTCCCTTCGATTCCAAGGATGGAATATTCTTTACAAGCGTAGTAGTAGTTGTGACTTTGGAAGACTTTGTACCAGTCGAAGAAGGAGACGAAGCTGTACCACTGCTATCTGTCGGCTGGCAGTTTTCGGTCTTGATCAGCTGCGGCTTTTTCTCACTATCAATCTTGCCATTGAAAAGAGCACAAATCTGGTGAACCCAACGTTCACACATGTCGCACTGCACCCAAGGTTCTTCGTGTACTTCGTCATTCTTTTTTACGCGTAAGCTCATTCTTCTGGTACTGGCGGCCTTCATTGTGCTTTATGACATCAGCCAAGTTGCCGTAGCATTGATGACAGCAGTGATACTTATTATCTGCTGATGTGTAGTAGTAGCAGTTACGTCGTATGCGACTATTACACTCACCGTTGCAGTACAACACTGCTGGTTCAAAAACCATGCGCTCAATACCGCATAGGCGGCATGAGCTCTCTTTCGCACGGGCCGCCTTTTCATCAACATCAATTTCGGCGATCAACTTGCGCATTTCACCATTGAAGTCGGATAGCATATCTTTCGCAAGACTGTAGACGTCTTGGTCTTCACTGTTATACTGCATAGCGTTCTCAAATGTAGTACGCACGTCGAATGCAAATTCCTCAGTGTGCTTGTAAACGCCTACTTCAAGTTTCTTCTTAACAGTTCCCAGATCCATCGGCTTCCGAATTATCTTAAAGTAGTTCGGGATATTTAAAGCCACTGGGTCTACAGGTGTGTTGAATACCCATCCAAACTTGTGTTCCATCATTCCTTTTAAAATCGCCTCCAGCTTCTTTTTAAGATCTACAGGAGACACGGTTGCATTGTATCCCGCAAGCAGTGAGTCAATATGAGAAGCTAGGTTCTCATTGCTCAACTCGTTCAGCACAGACATCGGAACTTCCGAGGACGCCGGAGGTGCCGGCGTCGCCACAGCTGCTGAACTCGAGTTCGACTCACTTGCGCTAGTCACAATCATTGCTTTCGGTGTTCTCACGGCACCTGCGGGCAGCTGCAAAGTTGTACTGGCGTCCATTCGACGATGTTCCACCATCATAGCATTCAGCTTTGAGTTGTGCATCGTTAGTGGATTGATTGCTGCATCTTCCTTCACAGAACACTGATTAGTAGCTGTCCCTAATTCACCAGATGTAGTCTCGGGTTCTTCTTTTACCCTAACACCGCACGACGCTGATGCTGATGATTTAATGTCCGGTTTTGCATCGCACTGCACTTTTTGTTGTTTTTTTGGGTCAACTCCATGACCATGGGCATATTTCATCGACAAGACGGGTCGTGAGCCATTCATCATTGTCATTGAAAGGTTGGTCGTTGGATTTTCGTGCAAAGTTGTCAATGTGTTTGACGGCGCAGCCACTGAACCTGAAGTCGCAGCAGCGTCTTGGAGGTCCATTGGCATTTCCAGCGGCTTTCCTGCGACTGAAAGGCTGCCATCCACTTTCAAAATAACATCCAAATCTTCGTCACCCAGCAGATCATCAGGTGACGGCTTTATTGATATCGCTAGGCCTTTAGCAGTCGATTGCTGCACCTGTTGGAGAGGATTTTGCTGTTGCATTTGGACTGGCATTGGAATAGGTTGCAATGCAGGCGCTGCACTATTCATGACTGTCTGAGTGGACGCGACGCCGTTTGGAGCTGACGTTGATGTAATAGCATTGCGCTCATTGATCACATGCTTTACAATGTTCCGCTGACTCCTGCATTGCTTAAACTTCACATCCAATTGCTTGAGCATAGTACGTTTCTCCTGTACCTGCGCTTCATACTTAGATTGCTGCATTGGGTCTTGTGTAGAGTTTGAGAGATGCAACAACTGCCGGCATTCATTCATAATGGCATTCATGCGCGCACGAATTTCTTCCACCCACTTTTCAAGCTTCACGCAATGTGCAGTCAGCTGTTCCAAAGAACGTCCGCTTAGCTTTTGCTTAATGAGTTGAAATTGCCGCTGGTCATCCGGATCAAGGTTCATAGGAGCCCCACTCTTCTCTGCTTTCACATTTCTTATCACACTACTTGACCCTGCGCTAGACAGTGCTGTCGGCATAGGGACGGCATGGGTGTCTCCATTCGGCATCGCCATTCCCAATGCGTTCATCTGTGGGACTACTGGAACAGATTGGTTTACAGCACGTCCAACATTATGTTGTTGATGTTCGAAGTTCATTGCCACACTGTTTTGAGGTTGCTGTAAGTGTGCAGGCATGGCCAGTGGCATGGACTGCTGCGCTTGCGAGGGGATTTGTTGCTGCTGTTGCATTTCCTGCTGCTTTTTCATTGCAAGCATCCGCTGCCGACGCTGGCTCGCAGCAATAATCTGCTGCAATGCACGGTCTGCATCAAGCATTAACGAACCATTTTTCTCTTTTACTTCCACAGGATATCGAACAACTTGGCACACGAGACACTTCGCATTTGCGCATTGCTGGAAGTGGGACAACACGTACTTAGACGAGATGCAATGGCTGTAAGTACATGCATTCGTCTGTCGGCAGGCAGTCATATGAGCCCACAGTCGCTTCATCTCACCACAGCTTGGCGTGGTTGTGCACATACCCTCCGGCGATTTACACCACATAGCGTGCCGTAACATCAGCAACCGTTGTTGCTGACGTTGCAATACTTCTTTCGATCCAGCGGTTTTTACATCTTCACGAACCATGAGTCGCAATTTGTTGTGGTACTCTGTTGTTTGGTTCTTGTCCAATGCGGATGTTACTTGCTGGGCTTTGGCCTTAAACTGCCAAATAATCTGGGCAGATTTGTTATGAGCAGTCGAAGCTGGAGAGTTCGCTAATTGATGGCCGGAGCCTGTAGCATTCTCATTTCCATTGGATGCACTAGTACCTCCAGTTGTTGGCATATCGTTCTGCCCAAAAAGGGGTGAAATGCTTGTACTACCCATAGACAGACGCTCCGACATGACTGGATCGAACCCCGCAAGTGTTGACTGCATGCGAGACTGAACATGAGATGCATCCGCTTTGACAGGAGTGTTTAGCTGTGACGGCGGGTCCCGAAGTTCTGGCGGCATTTGAATAGCCTGAGAAGCCAGGCTTTTCGAGTCCGGGCCTAGCCCATTCGACGCGGGAGTAACAGCCTGTAGGCCAGGAAACGGAATGGGGGTCCCAGAAGACGCGATAATTTCAGATCTCGTAATCGCTGGCGACGACTGGTTCGGTGCCCCAGGCTGGCGCACTGTGTTGCCTCCAACAACTCGTTGGTGAGTCTGGGCACTGCGCACAATACTGCGCAACCGCGATTGTAGCGTGCTTGTGTTTGCATATTCTTCACGTGAAGAAGCAATACGGTAGCACTCATCTTCGAGACGGTGTGCCATCTCTGGCAGCTTCTGCAACCAGTTTGCTGGAGCATTCGACCGTTGGTTTTGCAGCACTCGCATAATATGATTCAGCATCTCCTTGCGCAATGCCTGATCAGCCGACGATTGCCACGTTGGACGCGTTGCAGAAGTCACGGATCCAGCATGTTGACCAGGAGCTTGACGTTGGGAGCGCGTAGTGTTCATGTTTACATTGGCGCTTCGATTGCCTCCACTCAATTGACTTTGCGCTGCCATTTGAGATGGAACATGGCCTCTCGCAAGCATTTGCTGCGCATTATGCTGTGTTGCGTAATGTTGCTGCGCTTGCTGGTTATTTTTGTGTACGTGCTGCTGCTGTGCCTGTCGTTGGCGCTCAAGCAGCATTTTCTGTTGTTGCTGCTGACGTTGGAGGTTCAGCTGACGCTGTTGTTGCATCATTTGCATATAGTGCTGCTGCATCTGTTGTTGAGGCATGTAGTACGATCCCTGCTGCTGGTTCATCATGTTCATTTGCTGCTGCATGTTGTTAAACATTACCTGGTTTGCATCGTTCATGCCAAAATTGTTGCCACTCATATCCATCCCCATACTGTTTACACCCATGTTAGGGTTCATGCCCGTGTTCATACCCACGTTCATATTAAGACTCACCTCATTGCTATTGTTTCCCATCGTACTACTCGTCGTAGTTGTATTCATAAAGTTTGCCACATCCAGACCCGTCGACGATGATGATGACGACGTGCCACTGCTAGCTAGCGACTCGGAGGCCAGTGACGCTGGGAACGGGATTGCATCAACTGTCGATGTTGTCAAAGCCGGTGAAGCAGTTGTCATCATCGATATAGAAGTATCCGCTATCATCATATTGCTGCTGCTGCTCGAGTCACGACCCGTTAGCTTTGGCGAATCAAGTTCGTCTGGAAAGTCAATGAGCCCCGCCATTGACGTAGACGAGTTGCTATTAAGCATCATTGACGAGTCTGTCATGAGATGCACGCCATTGCTAAAGTCTAGACCACCGGAGAAATCAATCCCACCGTTGTTGCCACCTAAATTAAACTGGTTCATAAACCGAGTGTCACTGCTATTGATATTCATGCCAAAGTCCCCTACAAACGCGTGTGAAGAGTCCATAATAATCTCAATCTACAAACACAAGCACAAAACACAACGTTAGCGTCATCCCTTCGTCGCGCTAGACGAGTTCTCCAAGCTTTAATTCACAACCAAAAACCAATGCAATCAACTAGAATCAAGATGCACTGTACCTGTATAAATCCAAGACCGATGGATGAGCTTTTATAACACTGGAAGCTCTTCTACTCACTCGTAGTTCACGTACGGTAGGTATATCAAATAAACAACCAAATCCAAAGCAATATACACGTGAACAAACAGTACGAGAGACTGTTAGCAACACTGCGACTACAACAACCGAGTGATAGAGGAGACAGTTGTAGTAAAGGTAAAGTGCGTCAAGATTCAGCGAAAAGGGACGCTTTGACGCGTACAGGGACCAAACACTTCCTGCCTAATCCTGACTCTATCTGCACTGGAGCTTTTTCTTTTTCTCACACGAAAGGGGTTTCAAGTCAAATACGAGGCTATAGGTGGTGTAATTATTATTAACGACTTGTTTTATGACTTACTGAATACAGATGTTAGGCACTACTTTATACGGCAGTTTTTACCATTAATTAGTACCACAAATATTAAAGCCGAATGGTTTTTTTATTGGAGTGGAATATTTACCCGACGGTGCTGATCGTATTGATATTATTAACAACAACGGCACAACGATTTGATGAGTGTCTAAACGATACGAACGATTGACTACATAAAGTAGGCACTTTAATATCATTGCCGACTTAATCAGATGCAATGGTCCATTCAAAAAGTGGAAGGTAACAATGGGGCAGAATTCATACACGCACAATTGATCAGCGTGTCAATGTAACGGTAAGTATAGCGATAGTGCCGGTGTGATGATAGTCGCTGCAACGTGCTGATGATAGCGTAAAAAAGAGAAGCAATAATCAGCATACGGGGTAAGAAGAAACAACTGATGCTACAGCAAAACGTTTTAAACAAAGTGAGTGAGTCTGTGCGTGAACGGTGACAGACATCTTGAAGTTTTGCGTGGTGACGTCCAATTCGTCATGATTGACGAACAACGTCTCACTCAGATTTGTCCGAGTTAGTATCATCATTAGCGATGATGATCGAAGTTCTTTGCTCACACTCAACGAACGAGTCCATAATGAACTGACTTGATACTCTTGTATTTTCAGATACCACGATTCACGTCTGACTCTTTACTTTTCTTGCGATCTTTTGACTTAGCGCAAGTCGCGCCCATAACATGAAGCATTAGAAGCGCGTAGGATATTTTCTCCACGATGGGTTAAAAATGGTTCGTCATCGAAATCGTCAAGTTGTTGAGTCGTCGGATTGTTTTTTCATCGGTCTATTTGCTTTCGAAGACAAAGACACTAATCAAAAGTGTCGATCTACGTGTACAACAGTGCATCACGCATTTGTTAACTCTTCAACTGTCTTTGCCTAAACCATACGATGAATAACTTGGAATAGGCCCAAAAGTCAGTATCAAACTGAACAAAGCTAGTAGAAACATGTAGACAAGTGATAAAAGATAAAGAAAAAAAGACCAAAGTGATTAGAAAGAAAGCATGATTAGCTAGTAGATTCAACTTGTTGACCAATGTATCCGGAATAATCAAACGTATTTGTGTCGTGTCTAGCGCTGCATGTCTAAAGAAGCTGAGCCGAAAGCGCGCCTGTTAGAGCTTTGGAAGGACCCTTTTCGCGTTTGAGCCAGCACGTACCGCCATTGTACGTCGTCCACGTGTACAACTTACAGCCATTCGTATTTTGGCAAACGTCACAACAGTCCTCGGCCTTGCCTTTGTTGACGCTTTTAATGTCGTTACCAATGTAGTCAACGTCCTTCTCCATGGCTGAGCAGACTTGGGGTGGCTTTTGAATATCCCATTTCGTAACATCGCCGCCGGTGGCGATGTAGTTGGAAATATGTTCAGCTGCTTCCCGACCAATGTACATGATGAATCCCATCGGGTTTACTGTGCCATCACGCATGGCACTGGCGTCCGCAATGAAAATATTACTTGTACCCAGTACGCGCAGCTTGCTATCGGCGCAGCGCTTGGATCCTGCCAATTCATCACCCGAAGCCATGCAGGTACCGCCAAAGTGGTGCACAATGAATCCAGTGTTGATACTTACCCATTCGCTTATGCCTTTGTCATCCGATTGGCCCGAGAGGAACGTGGCACCTTGGGCCGTCATTGCATTCACGACACGGTGAACGTATTGCTGCATGGCACCAAAGTCGCGCATTGTACCTGCGTACAGATTGCTATTCTTAAATGCGCGCCACACACCTTCTTCATTAAAGCCAGCTACCCCACGGGCCTCCGGATTGTTCAAAAATAGTTGGGCTGTGAATGCATCGTTGCGTGTAACAAACTCGCCAGTACCATGAGGCATGATCGTTGTCTGGAATTCGTATTGGCGACCCTCCACCATCAAGTCCTCGTAGGCGACGAGAACCGGTCCAGAGCTACTCCAGGGGCCCGAGCCGGTTTTGTTGATGTACTGATCGATAGCTGAGGTCGGGCGATCGACATAACGGAAGCTCTTCATGTCTGGGTGAGAGAATGAAGCGAAGACGACGTTTGCGTCGAACAAATTGTGGCCAACGAAAGAATTTGTGATCAAGTCACCCTGAGCCAGACCAGGAAATTTGCTGTTCCCCTTCAACATGTTAAACTGGTCTGCGGAACCTATGCCACTTCGTATAAGCACCTTGGGAGTGCCCAAAGCACCGGCAGCCATGACGACAGTGCCGCGCGACGTCAATTTAGCCAGATTGCCACCGTAAATGACACCAGTTGCCTTACCGGCCGTATGCAAGATGTAGTCGACCTCAAGGTCGGTCACGAGCTTCACATTGCTCCGTGTAGCCATCTTACCCCAAAAAGCATTGGCGGGGGAATCACGGCGACCTTTGTTGGATATGAACGGGGGATGACCGAAAGTCTTGCTTTTACTGTTGCGAGCCGCGACATCGTTAAGTGTTTTCTCCGAGTAACCTTGCGCGAGGAATGCTTTGGCTACAATTTTGTAGCCTTCCTGCAGATACCAAAGGCCGTCCGTCGAGGGCTTGTCCGTAGCGCCATGTATTTGCTCATTTTCATCCATCTTGGTGTTCACAGATTCTATCGAGCATGGCCACGAATTGTTCACGTAGTTATCCGAAACACGGAAGTATAACCCAGCATTAATCGAGGAAGAACCGCCAACAAGTTTACCGAGGCCAATGGTCGACTCAGGTAACCAGCCAGTTCGGAATTTCGCGTACTTGGGGTCGCTAATGATGGTTTCATATTCGCCCAGGATGTCAAAAGCGGTAAACTTACTACCCACAGCGTAGTCTGGGCTTTCAGTACCTCCAGTCGCCGCGAGAGAACGCGGTCCAGCCTCAATGATCAGCACAGATATTTTGGAGTTACGCGACAAATACTCGGCTGCAACAAGACCACCGGGTCCGCTGCCGATGACGATGACGTCGTGCGCCATCTCGGCATCGACAACACGGCCGGAGGCGGCAAATGCCACTAACGCGCAAGCCCAAAGGTAAGATTTTCCACCAAACATTTTTAAAAGATAGAGTTTATGGCGACGTTGGTAAGCACAAGATATGGTTGAGTAGTCTTGCTTTGTTTGTGGCAAATAGCAATATGAAGGGCTTCAGACAAGCAAAAAATGCTGCTTGGTCTAAAGCGGAGAGTATCAATGTCGCGTGTGAAGCGATTCCGATTTGTCGCTCCGACGCCACTGTAATAGCCTTTTCATGTGAGATGATGCTGAACCTATTGCCCATCCATGTATCATTTCCTGATGTTAGTGCTTTGAGCTGTTTGTTACCTCTTGAAAGACATTTAAGAGTATGCTTGACTCGTACAAAGTGCCATTTATTACTATATTACGTAGTATGTATCACGACAAGTAATTTGTGTTTCTCTATCAAAGCATTGCATGAAATGTAGCACAATGCCAAAACAATACTACTCAGCCAAAGAAGTCTGTACAAAAGCTGTTAGCTCAACGTATCTTTAAACCTATTTTTAGTCTTCTTCCCTCCTACTCCGTTTCCCCAGCGCGAATTGACCAAGGTCATAAGCACTAGAAAGGTGGCAGATCTGCGGTATGTACTACGTGAAGATAGTTGAGCTGCTTGTAAAGCAGCAGTACAAGTTCTGTACCTTGTGACTATCCAAAACACAGTGCATTCCATGCCTTAATAAGTTGTAATCAAGTACTTCGTGCTCCGTGTTGGCATGGGACATCCGTGCAACAATCCTAGTTGCACATCAAAAGAAAGACAAGCTGTCTACTTTAACATGACTGGATTTGCTGACACTTGGCTGCAAAATTTGAGGGTAACTTGTAGGTCGTACTTATGCTCCTTGTCGGTTGGATCTGATGCTGCAATCAGAAATCTTGCGCAAGCGCAGCAGATCGCTGCTTGACTTCTTATGTCCACCTACTTTCGTCTAGTCGGTTAGGACTTATGCATTCGGTAAAATAAGGGTGTTCTCGCTTAAATACATCTGCTTGAGGCGCAAGTTGAGAAGAATTTGCAAGAAGGCATGGCTGTCAATCTTGGGGTGGGCCTGGAGCTTTCAGCAGAGCATCTGGCTAACAACAGAGCTCTCTTCACTGAAGTCTTTCTGTTAAGCATATCACACACACCAGACGGCTGCTGAAGAAGGTGTATCTGAAGCTACCACTTTTCATATTGAAGAAACTACTGTGACATCCTGCTTCAAATTGCAACAGCAGCAGTGTAAACAGTACCATTGTTTCAGGACGATACGAACTTGTATTAAAACCTTAGTAGCGTTACAGAGTTAACCTCGTCGACAGGATCTATGTAATTTCAAAGACGCCACTCAACCCACTTGTGATAAAAAGTAGAGTCCAGCTGCAATGATCATAGTAGCAAATCAATAACCATCGTCGAGACAGAAAAGCGTACTACACGTCTTGTGCTTTTTAACGATTATATTCGCATAAAGGGCGGTCTACCGAGTTTACTAAATGTGGACAAATTAATACGTTGACGAAAGAGTCTTTATCAATCTTGCTAGATGCTTGTTATAAAATATACTACATTCATTGCCATAAGTGTCACCATAGATATGTCACGTTTGCCCCAAACCTTTTGCCAACGTTCTGGTCAATCGCTAAAGCAGGTTTGTGACCTTCCCGCCAAGTTCGGACATATTTGAAGCGCTATTTCAGTTTCAAGGAGTACGCGTACAATACGTAGTCTGCCTAGGATTTGCTATCGCTATTTATAGCGAGTTCTGAAAAGGGCTTCGCTGGGTTTCCACAACGTTTTGAGGTACACGTATTCCATAGAGACCTCAGTGCTAACTCGCTGGATTGTTGACCTCGCATTTACCTTTACACCATTAAGTGACTTTGTTGGATCTCGCTAGCTTGTTTCTGTTTGGTTAGTAGATTACAGACGGTTTGATTATGAAGATTCTCTCACAGTGCAAACTTCTTACCCGAACCCACGAGCTTTTCCAGCGTTCTAAGCAATCTATTGCAACCGCTAGATCATTTCATTGTCTTAACTAGCAATTTTTCGCCAAACTCAAACCTATCATAGCAATTTCATTACGTTCTCCCCGAATTTAACATTACGGCAGTGATTAACATGTAGTTCTAAGTAAAAAGCGCGACCAGAAAAGATAGTGCGAGCTATCTTCTTCTGGTTGCAATCAAAATACGCGGTACTTAGCATAAGACGTGGTGAGACACAATCGTTTTTTCAACACGCTGTTTAGTTGAAATCAACATGAAACTTTACCATGCCATCTCGCTGGTGGCGTGACCGCTCACGCTTCCGATGCTCTGAATTTCTCCTTCCAAGCGAATTGAATGGATGTATTCCTCCCCAAGTACACCTTTGCAATAAACGGAACCTCTGATAACCATGATCCGAATGCGCTGTATTTGGTGCGCCACTTGTTATCCTGGAATTTGCACGACTGTGTCAACCACCATCGACATTTTTGTAAGCGAATACCTGCTGTAAGAGACCCGAAAACTGCATCAAATTCTGCTGCTCAAGACACTACGGGTTCATTATCAACTTCACGTAAGCGTACTTTGACTAGTTATCGTCGTCTTTATATACTGACTGTTTCTCGTCAGTGGAACCAGCTATGGTAAAATTACATACAGATTGGGTGGAGCGGTGAACGTCTACACCATGGACCGACGTGGATCCGGTCGCAGTACAATGCTGACTCTCTACGCACTTGACCGTGGGTGAGAAATTGACCCATTGAAAATCCCTACGTTGCTGAAGCTCTGCAAAGGAAATACGGAAGTTTTTCGTCATTTTCTCCACAAGCGCTGCAAAGATGTAGCAACTTTCATTTTCGACTACACAAACGTGCGATACTTCTTACGGATCATTCTATGTTCTCGTTACGGAACGTTTAATGCATCTCAATTGTCCTGAAGTACGGATATGTTCTGATAATGTTGCCACGAGTTCAGGAGCACCCCGAAACAAAGGGTATTACCTATCAATTCTAACTAAGTGATTCATTTATGGCACTATGCGCAAAGACGGGCGAGTGCCGCAAGCATTTGTGTCGAAAGCGTCCAGGACACTCTTCAAGATTTATATACACAATTTGATGGTAACCCAACGTCGACATTGCTGCTTTTGTAGCCACAATAGTGGAGGACGATAATTCCAAGCCGATCTCGCATCGTTTTCGGCTGACTCTGGAGCGATTCTCGTTGACGAGGACCTCCGCAACCGAATCTTTGCTATGGTTACAGACTTGATCGTTGTTCGTCTGAAGATATAAAGGTATTGATACACTTTTTCGCGTATTGCGGTTTAGCATTAAAGCAGTGGGGTATACTGGACCACCTTGTCCAGTTTTCTAAATATTGGGAAAAACCAACGCCATCTTTATCAGAATTGACCTTGCGGTTTACAAGTGCGAAAATTGCGTATGAAATTCCTGTACCGCTTGCCTTGCTCTACTGTGCTTTTTGAAAGAAAAGTCACCAGTATGCGACCAACTTCGTGTTGGAAGCTACTGTGCCAACGGCATTTTCTACGAAGTGGACAAGTATTGCAATAAACGTGCAAAGATTCCTACTCGGGCAAGTGTCTTATTGATGTGCCACAAGTTGAATACGATGACACATCACAGGTATGCTGCATACTTGATGAAAGCACTGGATGACAACAAGAAAGAGTTGGTCACGTTTGAGTATTCTTCTTATGGAACACTAAACAGTGCTTCAACAAGCCAAGGAGAAGAAACATGCAGTATAAAGCTGCTGTTGTCATACGTGACCAATAACGGCAATTTGGAGCTTCTGGACAAGTCTTGCGTTGATGTGATGCCCCCGTTCACTATGAATATGTCGCTTGGCAATCAGTACGGTATGATATCTATGATGGAGAATATGATACGCGTTTGGTTGAAGCCTTTCCCCTTGAGACATAAAGGCTAGCCGAATGAAAAACGGTGTGACTCTTTCGTTCTTTGACTCAGAAAAATGTAGCACACGAGAAGCCGGCAGACTTACGCAAGGCACCAAGTATATTTGAAGTTTTGCTGTACATCTATACAATATTTCCAATGATTGATGGTACAAGAAGAATGAAATTCAGACGGTCTATTTGCTGTTTAGTACAAGTTCCATAATGAAGTCGCACGCTGTCGCATTCTCGATTCCAAGTAACAATGGTAATAAATTTGCTTTCTTTTATATAAAGTCGAATGCTTAGCTTTATGGTTTCGCAATGCTTGACACGTTTGTGACACTCGTAAGAGCTGGTAACGTATTGTCTACTAAGAAAGAAACTAGATGACAATCTTTTGACGATTCCATCTTGACGACTAAAACCGCGGATCATTTAGTAATAAGGAGATGCACGTGCTGCAATTGATTGTCGTACATTGTGCAGTAGAAGCTGTCAAGTACAGACTCATATGGACCTCTTCGCGACTGCGCAACACTAAGCAAACCCTTCAAATAGATTGGTCATGGTCAATGTCGAACCATGACCACAACATATTGTCTCTTCAATTGACTGGCACATACTGACTGAAATGGTGCAATAAGTCAATGACATTTGCAGCATCCATTAGATATTAAGTGAAGAAGGGGAGGACATGTATTTGTCTTACAAAGAATTAACAGGTCTAGCGTCACTAATAAAATGTATGGACTACTGACTAATAACGCAAAAAGAACAGCCAATGGACCAATCGCGTCCAAAAACTCGTCAACGTGGTTGAAAATTAGAACGCTGTCACTAAATTGCACCTATGAATGATCAACAGGTTGTAACAAGTGCACCCAGACCGATCACTTACATTCAAACTCGACTTGGTTATTTTCAGTTTTGGTATCGGTAAAATCTGGATGTGTTAATAATGCCAATTTGTTAGCCGCACAAGATACGGCGGCATCATTTAAGGCCATCGCTCACATCTTTGCAATCCATGAAACTAGCGACGATATCGACGGCATGAATATGTTACTTCCGCACGTCTTGAGCAAAGCGCTTAGCGTGGGATATGTGGTCACCAACTTTCTTGACGGCTCGTATATGGACAGCAGCAGAGGCCGTTTCGGGGCAAAGTCCTTCGGGCAATGTTTACAGGCCTAGGCAACGGTGACCATGTTATAACCTATCAAGGTGTTGTGTCTGTGCCATCTATACTACGGATCTGAATGGGGTCGTACTCTTCTGCAACCCAATCTCGACAAATCGGTTGAAGTTATCGAGTATCTATCTGGTCGCCAGCGACTTCGACTTCGTCGCCGCTTATGGCCAAAACCCCTCTCATTTGTCATATTTGATAGTTCAATACGTGAATAGACGTGTTTAGTTGTTTTTTCTGAAATGCCGCAGAAAAGGTGTAGTATTTACCTGTAGAATCTAGCAACAGTACAGTTTACATATTCTATGTAGGTATAATGCGTTAATATACCTAATTAGAAATTAACAGCGTTTGTCGATCTTTGTCGTAGTCATGAGGACAATGGCCGCAGCTCGGATCGCGCTGTTGACAGACGTGGAAGGAAATTGGCAGTACGTGCGCGATGTCGTGCGTCAATCATCGTGCTTACAGCTGAATGATAAAGGTCAAGAAGAAACACTGGAGCTTCGTGATGACTGTATGCTGGTATTCGGCGGTGATGCCGGGGATAAAGGAGACCATACACTCAAGTTAGTAATTATATCACAAGTAGATCAGTTTAAGAACAATATGGTTGAAATTGGGTTTGTTGTATAGGTGTTACGAGCAGCTAGTGAGTCTCAAAAAACGGCATCCGGAGCACGTCGTCCTGCTTGTGGGCAATCGTGACGTGAACAAAATGAGGTTCACATCGGAGCTGCATGACACAGAGATGAATTTGCATTCGATGGCGAAAGGTTGGTGCTTTTGCGGCTTTTTTGGCTTCTTTTCTTGAGATGATTGACTAATGATTGTCATATATTCACTTTGATGTGAAGAGGTGCTGGAAGGCCCGATGTGGGTGCCTGAGGACAAACGCATGACGTTAAAGCAGTATTTGGCTAATGAGCAAAAACGAGAATACCGTGATGTTGCGGAGGACACAATCGAAGCTGCGAATACCAAGACAAACCGGCTGAAATGGATGCTTGAGCACACAATGGGAGCACAGGGAGATTTTGAACGTAGACGAAATGAGCTGATGGTGCGTCGCGAGGTTGACAACGTGACAAATGAAGACGTTGTAAAGTCGTATTTGGATAGTGTGAGGGAAGGAGGTGTACTGCGTGAGTTTTTGCTGCACGGGAGTCTGGCGTTTGTGGCACATCAGACATTGTTTGTGCATGGCGGTATCATTCACGGCGACAATGACGCGAGTTTGTCTGCGTTGGGCCGAGTGCCTGATGAACCGTCAAAGCATTTTGACTCGGTTTTGGAGTGGGTAGATAGGCTGAACGCTTGGTATAAGAACCAAGTGCAGGAGTGGATTGAACACCCAACATGGAATAAAGACCATTCATTTCGTGGTGGGAACGAGCTGCTTCAATACGTACTACCGGGTGATACTGGCAGTGTTGTCATTGGCCGACATCTGATGGCGTCAGGTATGCCAATTCTGCTTCCAGACACGATTGCGTCTCAATTGTCCGAAAATCGAATTCGACGTGTGATTGTTGGACACACACCTCACGGCAATTGCCCGACCGTTGTCAAGCAGCCCCATCAGGAAAAAGATACCTGTGCGGCAGATCGTAGCGATGATGAAGTGGTTTTCCAGGATGTTATCATGTGTGACACAAGTTATAGCGACGCAAACGCCCGAGACAATCGCGGAGGCGCTGCATCTTCGGTGGTAGTTGAGGCGGCCGGCCGACTTCTTGTAAATGGTGTTTTGGAGGACGGTCAGTGCATCGCGTATGACGACGATGATCCATGGGTCGGTCGATGGCTTCAGGATGGAAGCATGGTAAAAGCTCGTCTTGCCAATGAAGGAGCAAGCGGAGAAGAAGATTCGTATCTGGTATTTCGTGTGGAGATTGGCTATTCGTACTCGTATTGTTATCACACAATCACCCAACTTCGTGACATTGGTCTGAAGAAATGACCTGTTCAATCATATTGAACCTAAACCAGCAAATGCATTTCAGTGGATGCTTCAACATGTCATTAAGTGAGTGCAGTTTGAGAGCTACATAGGAATATGATCTCGACATACGCGCACACTAACACATACGCGCAAGTAGAAGCAAGCTACAACATAGACGTCTGCTCATTCTAACGTTACAGGCATATTTTGAATAGTTCCGCGACGAACAAAAGCTCTTTTAAAGTATCCATACAACGAGTGCTAGATTTTCATGTGCAAAGTAATTGTATCCAAACGATAGTGCAAGTGCCTGTTGATCTACGTGCTGAAGAAGACAGTGTAGCTTTGAATGCCCTGTGGTCACATCTACCTCCACGGTTGCAATCATCATTTCGAAACACAATGACCATTTTGTCTTTAGATTCGGTCTCGTCAATAGGAGGCTATGTGTCACTTGTAACTGGCTGATATTCAGGTTTTTTCTTTTGATAGTTAAGATTGGCTAAAAGAATCATCAACACCGTTGGTTGGCTGCTAGCGCATCGTCGGACATGTCCAGTCATTTTGTTGTGAATGGACCACCTCAAGTTTCAATCTTGAATCAGCACTTCGTATCGCTTGTCTCTAATCTCTCGTTTTATTCAAGCTTAACACAATGTCTGGACGTGGTTTTGGTAGTCGTGGTGGCGGTCGTGGAGGTGGTCGCGGTGGTGGTCGTGGCTTTGGTGGAGGTCGTGGTGGGGGTCGTGGAGGTGGTCGCGGCGGCGCTCCTGGCGGTCGTGGTGGTGGTCGCGGCGGCGGCCGTGGTGGGGGTCGTGGCGCTCCTGGCGGACGTGGTGGAGGTCGTGGTGGAGGTCGTGGTGGTGGCCGAGGTGGCGGTCGCGGTGGTATGGCTGGCGGCGCGAAAGTCGTCGTGGAGCCTCACCGTCACGCTGGTATTTTCATTGCCCGTGGCAAGGAAGATGCTCTTGTAACACTTAACTCAACCCCTGGCAAGTCAGTGTACGGCGAGAAACGTATCTCGGTGGACGTTCCTTCTGCGTCGGGTGAGGGCACTGAGAAGGTTGAGTATCGTGTGTGGAACCCGTTTCGATCCAAGATCGCTGCTGCTATTCTTGGCGGTGTGGACAACATTTGGATCACTCCTGGTGCTAAGGTGCTGTACTTGGGTGGTGCCTCGGGTACCACTGTATCACACGTCTCTGATATCGTGGGACCCAGTGGCGCTGTGTACGCCGTTGAGTTCTCCCACCGTGTGGGCCGTGACCTCATTAACATGGCCAAGTCGCGGACCAACGTCGTGCCGATTATTGAAGATGCTCGTCACCCGCTAAAGTACCGTATGCTTGTGCCAATGGTCGATGTCGTCTTTGCTGATGTTGCTCAGCCTGACCAGGCTCGTATTGTGGCCATCAACGCTTCGCATTTCCTGAAGAATGGTGGCCACTTTGTGATCTCCATCAAGGCTAGCTGCATTGACTCTACGGCTCCACCTGAGGCTGTGTTTGCTCGTGAAGTCAAGAAGCTTCAGCAGGAGCAATTTAAGCCGGCTGAGCAACTAACGTTGGAGCCGTACGAGCGAGATCATGCTGTGGTTGTTGGTTCATATCGTGTGCCCAAGAAGGAGAAGAAGTAGCTTCAGTAAGGAAATGGCCACACGGTTTACACTCTCTAACTATACAATGTGTTTTCTAATGCTATGTCTTGTAGGTCTCCGCCCGGCTATGTGGGTCTACCTCTTTATTGAAAGACAATGTGATATAGTCGAAGCTGCGCTCTTCCTCAAAAGAGGTTGGCAAGGTTATTGTGTGGGATGAGTTTGTACTGTATGTTTACATGTGAGTGGGGCAATATCCAATGAGGCCTGTGACAGGCAGCCTCCTGCTTTCTTGATGATTAGAATTATTGCGTCGGGCGGACTGAACAAACGGGTCTGCTGTCGCTCTCACCCGCTGAAAAGTGGTATGGGTCTGCGGTAGGTCTACTCCGTGATTGAAAGACGTCATTAAGCCTCTAAATGGGGTCGATGAGAGAAAGGAAGGGCAAATGGTGCATACGTATCGTATGTTTGCATATCGCTATATGTTAAAATTTAGTTTCGTAGTGAGGAAGAGTGTAGCAGGGAAGAGGACGGCCACCATGTAAAGGGCGGGGACTGTTGGTTCCATGCCTTGATTTTCTGTTTATATCGTGCTGATTAGGACTCTAGTAATATGCCGTCGGTGATATCCTACCAACAAAGAACCATACTTTTGCATTTCAATAGTCTTGGTGCATTAGTGTGCTCCAGTTTTGACCCTACACGGTCCCCTTCCTTGCAAACGTCTACCCGAATTGTGTTAACTTGATTCAGTCAAGGTCGGCTTGAGACAACACGCTGTTGTTTTTTCTGGGATGTTATTAATGTTAATGAGCACAGGACAATGCTAGACTCAACCATCCTAAATGGAAGCATTTTTGACCAAAGCAACGATGAGATCAAGTGATTGCTGGTGGCTGCCATGATCTTCAGCAACGTGATAATCTCCAACAAACGTCAGTATCTTGTCGCAACAGGATCGATGCTAATAATGCCCTACGTCGTTTGTGTCATTTGCTTCTTCGGTCACCTAATTACGGAAACGCAATTGCACTGAGTCGTCCATGGAAATCACGAACGATGTACAGCAAAAGACTGTCGTGTTGTCACTGCAAAGTTGTGTGTATAGGTGTGCTCTTTGAGCCTCTATTTTATAGCCAAGTTTGTTGTGATATGTTCCCCAATTCAAGCGGTATCCGTGCTGCTTATCCGCCTTTGTCGACGTTCTTTGGGGCTTTTTGTCGACCGATATTGGTTTTCTACCGCCAATTTTTCAATCTTGCGATGCTAGCACTAGTCCGGTTTTTGGGCGCGTGACGTCCTCTGTAGTCTTGTACATTTCCAATGACACTATGAGCAGCAAGCTCCCGATCACACTTGTTGAAACTATTCATTCGCAAAATCTGATTTTTCAATTTGACAGGAGTGTCAACCTTGTCGTCGCCACTTTCAACCATGCCTCTCAGACAATTGAAGCAAGCATTCGCTGGCAATGATTGAATTAACATCCGTGTGAAGATCGGGTCCCGAACATTTGCGTTTACAGCGGTCAATTGATCTTTAATCATAAATATGTTCTCCACGTGCCGTACGTATCACAACATGCCCCTCCGACGCTTGCGTCGAAACACCTTGCGCGTGTAAGACCCTCATGCCAATGTCGACACGATACTGCGACACACTGCGCTTTGATAAATCCTTCGTTAACATATCAGCAGGATGCTCTAATTGGGCTACTTTCTTCACCAGGATGTATCCAGCCTTAACTGTTCGCGCACATAAAGCCATCTCAACTCAAATGTGTCTTGTTTTGCTGCTATGTGTTGGTTTGCAGGCCAACAAAATAGCGACCGAATTGCCAACGCCCATCGTTATCACATGTGCACTGTAAAATTTCAGTCATCATGTTGGCAATTTTACTACTCTTCATAAATGCTTCGCAGGCTGCCACATATTCAGCTGCTGCGGTGGATTGTGCGACTTTTGGTTGACGTCTGGCGGCCCATGCTACAGCTCTATATTCCATCTAGAGCACGAATTTTGTTAAACTTTTTCTTGAGTCGGGATCATCACCTTAATCACCATCACAATATCCAGTACTGACAACATTTTCTTTTGACTCCATGTCTTTTGCGAATCTGATGCCGTTCTGACGTGTACCAGACAGGTACTGCACCACTTGCTTGGCTGCTCCAAGTGTTTTCGCGACGGGTTGCTTACAAAACGCCTTAAATAGCCCACAGCATAGAATATATCGGGCCATGTACTTGTCGCCAAGTACATGAACGATCCAATCGCTCCTTGATAACCAAAATCAATGCAGTCGTCTTGAGGTGGTTCAATGCGCTTACTAAACCTCGCGTTAGTCTCCATAGGAGTTGCGCTACCGTGCGCTTCGCCAAAACCAAATCTCTCCAGGACCTTCTTGCAATACTTACGTCTGGTGGATATGAGTCTCCATCTCATCTTGCTCGACATTGCTGCCTAGAAAGTAATGCAGCTTGCCTCCATCTGTGAGTCCATATTTTGCATCGATGGCTTTTAACGACCATATCAATTCGCAGCGTTTGTAATCAATCAACCAGAGTTACTGATTTAATAGTTGATAACTAAGGGTTTGTGGCAAGAGAGTACCCATAGATCCGAACATTACCTGCTTGTGCTTTGCCCGGAAATCGTTTCTTGCAAGTTATACATTGATAAAGGTGCTCAAGCGTTTATTCGTCCAATGATTACAAAGAGATAGTGGTTTGCATTATAGCAGCGTCAGATGGTTTTCGATGTGTTGCTATAAACAAGGTGTTATATATTATTGTCATTCGTGTGCAGCTGTGTTCGTTGAGCCGAGAGAAGGTTAGCATCTCCCTCGACAAGGACGGGATTGCGCTCAGTGCGTATTCAACCACTGGCTGGTTTAAGCTCTGTCTCCTAAGACATCTACCAACATTTTTTCGTGGCTGTACATGGCGACAAAACGATCCATCTCACTGGAGACCGAATTTGTGTGCGACATTAGCAATAAAAGACATCGACAGACAAAGGATGATGATGCCTGTCCGATATTACCAACAATACACAACGATGATGCAATATCATCATGCACTTTTCTTACAGTCCCGGAAAAGACAGAGACTCTAGTTCGTACTAGTGTCATGCAGGACTTGACGCGTGTGGCGATACTAGTGCCGTTTCGTGACAACCATCCAACGCAACAGCGACGAGCACATTTGGATGAGTTTGTGCCGTACATGACAAAATTTCTGCATCGTCATTGTGCTGCAACAAGGTTGTTGATTAGTATTGATCAGTGTGCAATTGAGCTGCCATTTTCCTGATCTTACTTGGTGTATTTGTTGCAGTGCCTCCTTTCATATGTTCATCTTGGAGCAGTCATTGGATGGCCGCAAGTTTAATCGAGGCAAGTTGCTTAATGCAGGCTTCGATATGGCTCGCGATGACTATGACGTTTACATATTTCACGACGTGGATCTACTGCCTGGAGTAGGTGACAATGCTATTGGATTATGCAAGTGCGTAGAAAGAGTAACCTAATTGGACTGCTGTGCTTACGACTCCACAGGACGATCTAAGTGAGTGCTACACCTCAGTACCACACGTAGGACCAATGCACATTGCGCGAGTGTGGGAGCGCTACAGCGAGAGCTCCAACTACTTTGGCGGCATCGTGGCATTCACGCGCCAGCAGTTTGTTAAAGTCAATGGATTTCCCAATAACTTTTGGGGCTGGGGTGGAGAAGACAATGAGCTTTATAGTCGCGTGATGCGCAAGAAACTTATCGTCCAAACACCAACAAGGTCGGTCTTCTGCTACAAGTGTGGCACGTACTAGATGGACCCCTGATTTTATTGTTCTTGTCTTTGATGTTTGTGCATTGTATAGCGGTACAGTACGAGATCTAGAAGAGATGAATCTTGAAGAGAAGCTCACGGTCCTTCGTAATAGCAAATGGAAGTGCACTGTAAAGCACGAATTATTGAAGGAGCACCAGCGCACATGGAAGAAAAATGGACTCAAGAGTCTTCATTACGAGTATGTGCATGCTAAAGCCATTAACAAGCACTGTACAAAAATCACTGTCAAGTTAGGTCCGAATGGGCACTGGTCAGACTCGAGGTCATCTTTGGAGCACACGAGAGCACCTGATCAAGACTTGGTTTCGCATTTGGAATGTATTACGTCAACAACTTCACCTTTGATCTCTCGAATAGGTTCAAGTGAGTCCAATCGAGGAACCGAGCAATAGATTGGATAATGTCATCAAGACGGACACTGTTAATGAAGTAGCTTCTTGCGAACAAGACACAAGTTAAACCCAAAATAAATTGAGTCATGCGTACTTAGCTTAGTTTGGGCGATCGAAACACAACCTTTGATTGGATGAAAGCTAAGCGAGTCATTTTTTACCTGGACTTGCAAACGCCATCAAAATGACAATATCGTTCTTCGGAGCGCTTACGCAGGGCGCCAAATTCAGTCGTACGACGTTCCAAATCGACAAAAAGCAATTGAAACGAAATACTGAAGGTCTGATTTATCTCCTTAATATCGTTTGATGCTCAAACTCTCTCTCTTTGATGTCTAAATGGCTAAACCATTTTGTGCTCATGTTGAATTGTTTTTTTCGTCTCTTGCGATGATTTTACACCTTTAGGAACCACAAAAGAGACTGGAAAGAGTGTAGAGAATGATAATGAGCTGGACTTTTTTGGATTTAATGAGGTTCAGAAACCTAAGGAGAAACCATCTAAACCTCGTAAGATTAGTGTCGACATGGTGCCAGAATGGGCAGGTAACGACTTGGCTACTAAGACTTGCAAGGCAAAGGGCAGTAAACTTCGTCGCAAGCGTAAATTGAGTGAAGGTGCCCTTGAAGAACAGCGTCTGGAAGATGAAAATCGACTGCAAGCATCGCGGCTTCTTGCACCACCCAAGACAAAGGCAAGACAACGCAAAGACAAACGTGCTCGTCGTCGGTCGCGTACGGAGTCGATGGAAAGCGAGGCTAAAATGCCGCCGTTGGGTAAGGACATTGCTGCATCAACCGAGGAGGACGAGGAAGACGAGTCTGTGAGTTTGTTTCTGTCGAATGGTGAAAATGTGGGTGAGGAAGTAACAGTTGAAAAGGAAGATAAGAAGCCTAGGAAAGAATCTGTGAAGCAAGCAAACAGAAAGAATATGGCTGCTTCTGAACAGTACGTGCTACGCTTCTTGCACTATGAAGAAAAATGTATGGTGTCGATAGACAGTTTACTGATTCGAAATTGTATAGAGAAGGCATGCAGATGCTTCGACGCCAGCTTGGCATTCGTGTAAGCGGTGTGAGCGTGCCAGCACCGATTACTTCGTTTGCTGACATGCGCTTGGACTTTAGTACGAGTGCGCAGCAGATGAAACGTTTTCTTTTGCAGAACATTGAGCGTTCAGAGTACAAGGAACCTACGCCGGTGCAGATGCAAGTTATTCCAAGCTTTCTGCTTCGACGCGATGTGCTGGCTACAGCACCTACCGGATCAGGTAAGACCGCAGCTTTTGCAATTCCGATGCTAGCAAACCTGGCAGCCGGTAGCGGTACAAGCAGCGGTATTCGCTCGATTGTTTTGGCTCCTACTCGTGATTTGGCAGTACAGATTCGTGCGGAGTTCACGCGCCTCGCTGTCGGTAAAAAGATCCACATCACGCTATTGTCCAAAGCCACTGCTGCTACCATCGCTTCCCAGACCAAAAGTAAATTGGCTGTGAACCACGACGTGTTGATTGCAACGCCGCTTCGTCTTGTGCATTTGATACGAGAAGCAAAGGTCGATCTTTCAAGCGTTGAAATCGTGTGTCTTGATGAAGCGGACAGGCTACTGGAGCTTGGATTTGTGGAGCAAATTGATGAGATTTTTGCTGTGTGCACTCATGCCAAGGTTCAGCGTACTATGTTTAGTGCTACCATGCTGGAGGGAGTCGAGGAGCTTGCTCAAACCGTGCTGCGCGACCCTGTCAAAGTAGCTGTGGGAACAAAAAATGCCGGTGCTAGTACGATTGATCAAAAACTGGTATTTGTGGGCAAGGAAGGAGGAAAACTTGTTGCCATGAAGCAACTGTTGCACAACGGGCTTCAGCTTCCCGCGTTGCTGTTTGTGCAGAACAAGGAACGTGCTAACGAGTTATATCACGAGTTGCTGTATGATGGAGTAAACATTGGTGCTGTTCACGCGGATCGCACCAAGGAGCAGCGAGACGATGTGATTCGGCGTTTTCGCACTGGAGATGTTTGGGTGCTCATTTGTACAGACCTCATGAGCCGTGGTATGGACTTCAAGGCTGTGAATATGGTCATTAATTATGACTTCCCGCAGGTACGATCACATGTCGATCATCCCCAGTTCTTGATATTCCTTTGAACACGTATATCTTTTGAATGTTGGCAGAGTGCTGTTAGCTATATTCACCGCATTGGTCGGACGGGCCGAAATGGACGTAAGGGCAATGCTATCACGTTCTTCACCGAGGATGATATGGTATACCTACGCACAATCGCTAATGTGATGAAGATATCAGGCTGTGAAGTTCCTGAGTGGATGCTGTCGCTGAAAAAGGCTAGGTATGTAAACGTTTCTACTGCTGACGTGTTTTGCTATCGTCCAGCTTGCTTATTCTTTTTTGCTACAATAGTGTATCGAAGAGGAAGGAGCTTTTGAAGGCACCTCCTACGCGACACCGCATTAACACGGTATCCGGATACGACCTGCAGAAAGCAAATCGTCTACAGCAGATGAAGAAACGTAGCAAAGGCGACCAAACCAACAATCATTCTGAGCCACAGAGCGACGAGAAGACGCAAGAGAATGCTGAAGATGGCAAGAAGAAGCGAAAGAAATACAAGAAGAACTTGATGAGCGTGTAGTTTGTACACTCAAGTTCATAGCAGTAAGCGCAGCAAATCACACAAGTTGATGCATGCAGCATTGACCTACCACTCGTAGTATGTTGCTGTGCCACTAATGTTGACCAGAGCCCTTCATCGACGAACCTATCTGAAAGATGCAAATCCACCTGTTATGCTTTGTGTTCATTTCTTATTTGGATTAGGAAAAAATAGATGATTCAAACAGCCATGTACGCTCGTACTTAAGCTGCTTCTTCAGTCTTAAATGCTAAGTTCCTGGCTCTAGACGGTCAAGGTCCTCGCTATCCTCATAACCAGGCTTCCCTGTGACTAATGACGGTGGTGCCGTCATCTTGCGGTACTGCAGCAGCACGGGATACATCTTGTCGATAGCTTGGTGAAGGTGGTTCGAGTCGCGTGCACCACAAAGTACTATCTTGCCAGATACAAAGATGAGCAACGTCAGCTTGGGCTCCACAAGCTTATAAATAAGTCCAGGGAATAATTCAGGTTCGTACTAAGAACCACACACACACACACAGATACACACCAATAGAATGACAACGTAACGCATCGTAAGCAATTCGTGACAAGCAGTACCAAATCATGACGCAGTATAGGAAACGTACACTTGAAAATCGTGCATGATCATTCAATAGACCTTCTAATCGAATAGGGAAGCGAACATCGCATGTTCCCATGACATTACGAACTTTAAATTCAGTAAACTTGGCTGGAAAATTGAGTTTCTAACAGCAACTTACCAGTAAATAATCCCCTTCCATTACATACTATGGTTATATATCATAACCATGTCTTTTAAATCCAACTGTAATCACTCACCTGTATTACACGCGTAAACTTGCGTGCAGCTAATCGACATCTCTCTTCACTAGTACCACCAGTAATGACAATCTATATAACATACAATAGATACCATCAAGTCAGCAAACATAAAACCATTCAAGTATAATCAAATCCAATCACAACAACAACAACATATGCACAAACCTTTCCAGACCCAAAAATCAATGCCGTTGTCTTGGGATCACGTAGTCGCATAATAACTGCAGAAAAGCGCTAGAAATCACATCAGTTCAGCTCCATTATACTAGCACAAGACATCCTCAATATCAATTAATCGCTCGCTCTCGCTCTCACCTTTGGATTGTATTCTGCATTACGTGCATGTAATGCAATTGTCTTGAGATCTAATAATGTCTTTAAATCCACTGTGCCCACAACGTTCCTAAATAATTGCACCCTATGAGATCATTGCCTAAACTAGGCTTTCAAATAAAAAACCAGTCACGTACATAATATTAACCTGTAAATTCAAACGTTCTTCCCAATCGTCATCTGTCTGTAATTCTCGTGCATCAGCAGTTTGAAGATCATGTCCTGGTGTATCAATGAGTGCAAGTTGCCGTTCTTTCACCGTCCGAGGCGTATTACTACGTGTAGACGCGATTAATGTCTCCTTGATCGCCATCTCCTGCTGTAAAATCGATTATTGTGTGGCATGCTACAAATGGTAATTTAAATAGTAATAAATTATAAATTACTTTCATCTTTTTTATATGTTTTACTTAAGAGTCTACTTTAGTGATAAGCGTCCAAAACGTTTGTGATTGGTCTGTAAATTAGAGAGCTCCAAAAAAAGTGACAGATGTACTGTGCGATCTTCAGTACCACATTACGTAAAAAATCTCTTGTTACTCTATTTTGTCACTTTATACTACTTCCAAACGACAATACTAATCATGATAAAAGCACACCATCTTGTCCAATAAATAATATTACACATGCCTCCCCACTGCTTCGTATGATTCATCAAGTAATAAAAGCTCTTGCCTTCTCATGATCTACCTGTCTATTATATCAACGCACGAGAAAAAGCCAGAGCAAACAAATACAACCTTGTTTTGACATAAAGGGTTTTAATACCCCACATGAGGTTTTTCACATACCAAACTCTACTTTTCACTGTCAAGCAGAGGGCGGGAGAGGCGTTATTTTTACTTTTGCCCTTAGTAATAAACCTAGTGCGTCTTGAGCCGTTAAAAACAAAGTCTTGCTAGACCTTTTATTATAGCGTATATATATATATTGTATATAAAGAAAAAGAAGTAGTAGAAAAAGAAGGAGACGAAGAAGAAAACGAAGAAAGAGAGAACAGACACATTGTGTTGTTTGTTACGTCACTTTTGTGTGTGTCCTCTCTCTCTTTATTTTTATTACTTTTCCCTTTCAATTTCTATTTGAAGTGACAATACAAAAAAACAAAAACAAAGAGAGAAAAAAAGCTTTTTATCCGTCAAGGTAGGATAATCATGTTCACCCCTTGTGTTTATGAATCTTCCTCCCCTCCTCTCCTCTCCTCTCCTTCCCCTCTCTACCTGTTGATATGATAATCTTACCTATTGTTTGCTCTCTCTTTCTCTCTCTCTCTTTATGACAGCAGTAGACGGAACGTTTTGACCTCATTTGTGCTAGTATTTAACCATTTCAATGGATTCCTTTGGTTTTGACTTTGCTGGTGGTGATTTACTGGATTTGGGCTCACTTGGATCATGGACAAATAATACATCAATGGGTAATTCACCAAATGGTGGTAGTACTGGTGGTGCTTTACCATTTAGTGTTGGCACACCAACAGGTGTTCAGAGTTTAGGCGACGATCCTTTTGCTTCAATGCCTAGTGGGAATGATAATGATTTTCATTTTGGTGATTCACCCAAACCCTCACCCAATGCACAGAACCAAAAAACCATGGACAATACGGCTTCACACTCTTCAGCTCCAGCTTCTGTCTCGTCATCAACGGCGTCAACTGCTAATGCGGGTGGCAATATGGCTACAAATTACTTTGGAGCCGAGCTTGAGGCAAGTCGCGCGCCCACTTCGGCCACTTCAGGCACTGCATCTTCCACAGCGACCACTGCTGGATCTTCAACTGGAAATGATAAAGCCAAGATAAACGTCAAGAATGAAACGGATGCACAGACCCACAAGAAGGAAAATAGCAGCGCAATGACATTGACATCTGCATCGACATCGAATTCTGCGTCTTCAAGTACCACTAATGCTGTAGTCTCGTCATCTGCGTCTGCATTTGGAAGTAAGGACGGTACATCTAGTTCGACAGTGGCGAATACATTGGAGAAATCGAAGCCTTCCTCGTTTTCGGCCACATCAACGTCGTTGCGACCTGCACCAGGCAGCGGTACTGTTTCTTCGGCATCTATGAGTAGTAGCAGTGCCGTAAACAATAGTGCTGCGACGTCGGCACCATCCACGACGTCATCTGCGCGGCCACATATTGGCAACCAGCAGCAGCAACAACAACAACAGCAGATGCAGATGCAGCAGCAAAGACAGCAGCAGTATGCCAACCAGATGATGATGACTCAACCGAATGGTCAGCCTCAGCAGTTTGTCGGACAACCGTACCAGCAACAAATGCACGTGGGTCAGATGCCTGGAGGTGTAAGCGGTGCTCCCGCTACGAGTGCTGCTGGCCAGTATATGGGTGGCCAGCCTGGTCAGGTGTACCGTCCTCCTGCTTCGTCCTATGAAGAGGAGTTTGCGCGAGTGAAGGCAATGATGATGCAGCATCTAGATCTCATTCCTCCACCGATGGAGGTGCTGCGTATTTCGATGAGCCAGAGTGCTGCCAGTCAGCAGGGCATGGCTATAGGTGGGAATGCTTACATTCAACAGCGCGGCAATCCGGCGGTTATGGCCCGTGGAGGTGCCCCTGGCAATCCTGCATACGGGCAGTATGGAAACCCTAATGTGATGATGGGTGGACCTCAGCAAAATGTGCCACAGGCTGGAATGATGAATGCAGCGCGAATGCGCGCAGCGCAAATAGCGCAGCAGCAGGCGCAACAGCGTGCTGCGGCTGGTCGAACGCCTGGTGGTAGTAACGATGGACAGACTGCATGGCAATCTGAGAATGATCTTCCTTTGCGGCGGAAGATGATTGGCAAAATGTACGTTTTCGTGTCACTTGAAATGCTGCGAGGGTATGATAGTTTACTTAATAGTTTGGTACAACGTTTTTGTGTTGTCGTGCAGTGTTAGCTTGTTGCAGCAACGAAAACCCGATGCACCTGCGGAATGGATCCGACGGCTGCCGGACATGGCTAGGAGACTAGAGGATTCGTTGTACCGTACAGCGAAAAATCGAGACGAGTACGGGGATTTTTCGTCTCTTAAGACTCGACTACAGCATTTGGCAGTGACGATGGGTGCACGTGCTCAGCACAAGGCCGGTGGAAATCCTCGTGCTGCAGGCGCGAGCGGCGTACCGGGCAGTACTGGTGTTGCGGCTGGAAATAATGCGATGATGACAGCCAACGTGCCTCCAGGAATGGCTATGAATCCTGGTGCTGGTAGTATGGGCCCTCAAGGCCATGTAGTAGGCAACACGCCTTACGGAAACCGAATGACTCAGCAGCAGTTGATGCAACAACAACACTTACAAATGCAAATGCAACAGAATCCTCAGATGCGGCAGCAGCTTACCCCGCAACAATTGCAGCAATTTCAAGAAGCTCAACTGCAGCGACGGCAGCTTCAGATGCAGCAGGCACAGCAGCAGGCTCAAATGCAACGCCAAAATTCGCTGCAACAGCAGCAGTATCAGCAGAATCAAGCATTACAACGTCAGAACTCGATGCGTCAAATGCAGCAACAGCAGATGCAGCAGCAGATGCAACAACGTCAGAACCCCAATTATATGCAGCAGCAACAACTACTCCAACAACAGCAACAGCAGCAACAACAGCAGCAGCAGCATCAGCAACAGCATCAACAGCAGCAGCAGCAACAACAGCAAGCTCAAGCTCGCGCGCAGGCTCAAGCTCAGCGGAGTGGTTCAGCAAACGGTACTGCGAGTCAGCAGCGTATGAGTGGAGATATGAGTCTTGGCGAATCTTCTGACTTTTTGAATTTGGACCTGTCGTCGTCGTTGTTGGGATCTGACGACCTACAGAGCGATGGTAGTTCAGGTCTAACTGGAGGCGACACAATGAAAAGTGAAAATAACGAACCTAGTCATTTAGCGGGTCAAAAGAGGACGCTTTCTCAATCTCAGCAGCAAATGGCAGCAGCGGCAAATGCGGCTGCATTCAAGCGGACAAAAGTAGGAGGAGCTAGCGGGCAAGCTGGTGGTCAGCCGGGTGCAGTTTCAAATCAGCAGCATTCTGGTGCATCAAATTCTGTACCTCAAGTGTCACAGACTGCACAGGCATCGATGCAGAAACCCGTGACAAGTTCTAGCGGCGGCTCTTCGAAGACTCCACCTATGAGTACAGTTAACGCCAAGTAACTCATAACCCAACCAATATGAGCGATGGTCGACAGTCAAAGGTGGTGGCAGCAAACAACGACGAAAAGATTATGGAAGGAAACTATCAGAATGCGCAAGTGTGTCACCACAGAGGCCCCGTTGGTGATTATGGGTCACGGGAAGCCAAGGGAAGCGACGAGGCGTCTATGTATGCTGTAGACTTTCCCGTTTCTCGGCCTTGTGCGTAGTGAAGGAAGTTGAGCTGGCCTTATTTGTTAGGGATGGTGTGCTGTCGAATAAGTAGATAGAGTGGGCTCCAATTGGTTGTTGGAGTCCGCTCACGTTCGATATGCACCATCAAGGACAGCGACGCTGCTTCAAACGTGACATAGGACATTGTGAGTCGAGCTGCCTTTAGCACGGCTGAGATGTGTAGGCAAAGCCGTTGTGGCTTGAAATGAATCTGTAAAGTGGCGAGTTTGATTCATGTAGCTGTGTCAAACATGTACGTTATTTTTTCCTATTTGACAAGCTTTCTCTCTCACACTTCCAGTTCAAGGCAGCGCGCAGTCATACGCGACCACGAGAACCGAACGAATCGGCGTGCGAATCATGCGTCATCTTGAACGCTATTTGACCTGGGGTAGCATACATTTTGTTATTAAGTGTTTGGTCATGTTGCGCGTGAAGCACGATACGCCGACGAAGGCTATGAGGCTGATCGAAAATGACTGAAGTAGATTGCTAAGCTTCGTCGTTTGGAAGGTTGTTGACAAACAGATTCATTGACTGTGACAGCGTTTACCGCTGTCTCACTTGATAATGTTTTGACTTGAGGGCTACTACAAAGCGATGATTGAAGGCTGTGGCATTTGCAGAGTAAGCGAAATTGACACGTACGTTCATATTGTTTGACTCGCTCCGGTTTCTTCAGGTCTCAGAAGAACTTGACAAGACACTCATCCCATTTCACTCGATAATGCTGATTGTCAGACGTAGCACGAAGCGATTTTGACGATATAGTTACTGAATAATAATAGTACTATCTCCACGCGTTTCAACCAGTCAGTCTAATGAAGTTCGTTGAAATTGTTGCGTCCGATGAGGTTGATCTGAAGGCACTGGAAGCTCAAGAGCGCTTTGTGGCACTGGAATTTCCCGCACAATTTGGTTCCAAAGTCATGGAGTACCTGTCAATGCATTTTCAATCACTAACGGAGCTCGGGTTCGCCCACCTTAAACGGTTGAAAAAGCATCCGGAACTCCCAAAAACCCTCGTGGCACTTGTTTATCCCTTGAGTATCAATGATCAAGACATTGCAACACCTTGTAAAGAGTTGCAACAAATGGAAACATTGTTTCAAGCTCGTCTTACAACGGCGCATGCTCTAAGACTAGCACCGCGCACTCGTCAACTGTTTGAGAAACACACGAAGCAGTGGCCACTGATTTTCCATGCTAGTGTCGAGGAAGCTGCGACGTTGTCGGTAATTGAAGAGGAGGAAAAGACAAAGATGATAGAGCGTTTGAGGATGGTAGTGGAACGTGGAGAAAAGCTGAAGGAAGAAGGACAGCAGACATTGAGGTGTGCGTGCATGTGTGTGGTGGTGGACCCTGAAGTCGACGAGATCGTTGCCACATCGGAAGTGGGTGATGAGATGCACAGCAAATACAAGTTCAGGACGTTGTATCATTCGGTGATGGTTTCGATTGATGCTGTTGCAGAACGCGATCGAGGACGTGATAGAGCTTTGGTTCAAGAGACGACTTGCAAGAAACAAAAGTGCACTAAAGAAGACGATGATGCGAATTCAGACGAGAAGAATGAAAAAAAGCAGAAGGCATCTTACTTGTGCACGGGGTATGATGTATATCTCGATCGCGAGCCGTGCGCTATGTGCGCCATGGCGTTAGTGCACAGCCGCGTTCGACGAGTCATTTTTGATCGCGCTAATCTTGGCGACGGCGTGCTTGTGAGTGCTTTCAAGCTGCACACCATTAAGTCGCTAAACCACCACTATCGTGTCTTCCACGTGGCCATCTCGCCTGAATAGTAGACGTTGGACTAGGAGATATATTGCGATCAACACGTGTGGCCAAAGCGAGAACCAGGGCTGGAACTGCAGGTGGTATCATGCCCAGCTAGCTCGATTGCAAGCGATGAATGAACTGGATGCTTCTGCTACGCTCTCATCGCAGAAGCGCCTATTCGAATGGCACGCAGCATCAAGATGAAAATAAGATGGGCCTGCACAGGTTGCAGCAGTCACTCTTTCCAACAGCGCATCACAAGGTAGTAGATATTATGCATGGCATTTTCAGGAGGCGATGTATAGTGGCTCATTATCTGTACTGCATCCATTGAGATGATATCGTATGACTCGACGCTGCTAAGAGCTTCAAAAGGATCACGTCATAACTACACATTTGCTTCCGCTGTATGCTCCTCGCTTTGATATTTTTGCCGCAATCCAATGTTTGAGTCGTATCACGCGGGCAGCATTGGCTTTCACATCAGAATCGACTGCAATTGCCGCTCAGACTCATTTGGTGGTCTTCTTAAAATGCTGAGTCGAGAGAGACCAGGATCAAAGACTGCAACGTCAGTCGGCATTGATAACATGTTGACACACCTAAGATATCGTGGGACTCGAGGCCTGTTTGAATGCAAGAAATGCATTCTGCCACCATCATTTACAGCAACAATGACCAAGTGATCTTTGCGTCATCGTTTCAAATGACATGATAAGTGCTAGCTTAGGAAACAGAGCTCCATGACTAGCGGACGATATGTGACACGCACAAACATCACCACGCTCCGGTGACAGAAATGCGTCATCATGCTCGCTGCAGAACCAGAGCTCATCATGATGAATTTTGTATCAACCTGCAGTGTAATTGTCTTAACATGGCCTTCCAAGTGACTGCATACGCAAAACAAAAAATGCCTCGACCAAATTTCTCCTTCAATATCACATGCTGCGTCTGTCTTGTAATGCAATGTCGGATGGCAGCGCCACCGCCAAACCAGCTTGTCATCATTAAAGTCCTCTGCACCATATCATTCTCGTGGGGATGTTGCTTCGTCAGCAACATAGTCTTAATTTACGACAAAAACAGAGCAACATCGAACTAGAGATGGCAGCCGCTTTCACTATTCAAAAACAACTATTTGTTTGACAGACATCTTGCTTGGCAGTGCCAGAAAAGATATGCTGGAGCAGGCTAGCATGAAGTAGACTTCCATAACGTCAAGTTCCAGATCTCCGATCAGGAGCAGATTGCGCTCACATATTGTTTAACACCTGCGGTTCAAGTGCATCAATTTACCCGACAAAAAGACATAGGAGTGTCAGTCAGCGAAGGTGTCATAACGTCAAGTGTTTCAAAACTACGAGCACGAGCAGATTGCACTCACATATTGTGCTAACTTCTGCGGTCCTAGTGCATCAACTTGCCTGACAAAAAGACATAGGAGTGTCGGTCAGCGAAGGTGTCATGAAATCTAGTTTATAATAAGATGACAAATAAGGTCGCAATATGACGGTACCATAACCAGAGTCAGCAACGTCCAGTTTCCACCCTACTCTGAATTCGTCTTGCAGTTTACTTGCGCGACCAGAATTGGGCGCGAATGTTATCCTGATACAATACAGCGTAGCAATATGAACCGCTCTCTATGTCAGCAATCAACCCGAAACAACACGAATACGTTTCTTATATCTCCAGACAGCATTGACCCCCGCAACTAAGCCATGTGACTCATTTCCTCACTTGTATTGCTAATCTTTTCCACAACATCCAGAGCAAGCAATCAAGTATCTATTAAGCAACTACTCACAGATTGCGAACTGGTTGGGTGAACAAGACTACAAGCGCACTTCATCACTTTGCAAAATTACAGCAACGCCACAGTGGGTTTGATCACGTCATAACGCATCCACAGGGTCAAGTGTAAAGTTGCCAAACGCTCCTCGACGGAATTCATGAAGCAAAAACTGCGCAGCCAAACGGTCTTGTTCATCAGGCTCCTTGCCCGACGCACCGCAACGTTTGTATACCATCTTAAATAGCTCTTCAATGTTATCCGTCACTCCTGGAAGCTGTAACGCCTCCCCATATCGCGTTGACTTCATCTGATTCAGCAAGAATAGCATGTAATCCGCAATCAACTCCGTTCCCACGACTTCATCCTTTATCGCGCCCGTTAGTGCCAGTCTCATTCCCGTCTCAGCCGATGGGATGTTTGGCAGCATCACACCGGGAGTATCTACCACATAAACCGCTGGTTTGTCATTCACCTACAAGCAAAGTTAATGACCTTTATCTCTTCTTGCTCTTGTCTCAGAACCATTTACACACCTTAATAATGTCGTTGCGGACAGTGACTCCTGGTGTAGGACCGACATTGGCTCTCTTTCGGCCTTTTGCTAGTTTTTGCGAGCTCGATAAACGTCGAAACTCGTTAATAAGCGACGATTTGCCCACGTTGGGGATACCAACTACCATCACCATAGATCCTGCAGTACTTTTGAACTGAGCCTGACTGTGCTGATTGCACCATTGCAAGATCGCGTGCAACCGTTTGCTCTTGGTCACGGACGTGAAGAGACAGTCGGTGGCCGATCCAAGCTCACTTTTGCACTGTTTCTCCACTCTTTGCTGCATATTGGAGTTCGCAAGGTCGCATTTATTAAAGACAATGAGACGAGGCTTGGACTGACCGAATGCTTCCTCTAGGACGGGATTAGCTGAACTCCAGGGAATTCGAGCATCGCGCACTTCAATTAACACGTCCACAGCATCCATTTGAGCCACCATTTGACGTCTAGCAAGAGCCATGTGACCTGGGAACCAGTTTACTTTAGCAGGATACACGAACTTCGATCGGAATACACTCATATTGACGCAGGACGCAAGGTAGGACGATAGGTTTTTAGGTCACGTAATGTCTGCACCACACAAGAGAACGTTTTATGATTGGATGAAATTATTACATACAAAAATTATGAAAAGTAACCAAAAATAAAGACAAAACATTAAATGTTACAGTAATGAATTCAATCTAATAGATAATACCAATATGCTAACTACATCATGTTGACTCAACAGTAAACATTAACGCGTCAAGATGCTTAGTGAGATTTACTTTAGTATCTTGTGACCTTTCTTTATCTATCATGCACAGAATGGCTACATACAAAACTTGTTGCTATTAAGTCTGCAATCGTTACGTAAAATAAAGTGTACTTCTTACCTTTGCAGGCTGAATCACTTGCGTTAGCCATTAAAAAGCGCGACACTACAAATCAGACTGTAGCCAAACTCCCTCAAATGACCGTCAATAGGCATATCTGTAGCATCTCAGTAAGATTGTTGGCGCCGTCCATAACATGCACGCCCACTGAGTAGCCCACAAAATTACGATAACACACTAGATATTTGCTGCGATGACAGCAAGATAAAGCCTAAGAGTAAAACTTGCCTACCAACTGATGGACTGCTTGTTCTTAAACATGTGTGCTCTGACAGAATAATCTGCGAGCTCATAACGTGCGAGTTAATTAATTTGCGGCCTTTTCCATCAGTTGTCGTCTATGTGTGTGTGAGCAATCACCGGGTCCAATGTAGAAGTCAAGGAGTCGAGTCATTGTTTACGTTTATATTGAGATGGTCGGTCGTCTTTGTTCATAATCATTCATGCTGTATGTATGCGTAAACCGAGACCAACACTCTTGATCACTTCAATAACACCAACAGATCAGGTGACCTAAGCTAATGGACGTGTTTTGCATCAATTTGTCACACCAAATTATTCATCCGAACAAAAAAAGCGACTGTGCCGCATTATCAAAAATGACATCGCGCAAACAGGACACGGTCCGGCGTTCCACGTCTTCCTCTTCTTCCTCTGTTGCTACTCCAGCGGCGGCTGCAATGGCTCGCACCTTGCGCTTAGCACGTCAATCAGGCTGTCTGAATCTATCTTCGCGCGACTTTCACTCGTTTCCTGAGGAGGTTTTTCGCTTGTACGAAGTTTTGGACGAGAACGAGCACAGTTGGGAGTGCGCCATTCTCCGCAAATTAGACCTCAGGTAAGCACGAACCCTAATGCCTGTTTTATGATATGGTAGGGTTTGGTTCATGTATTTTTCTTATAGCTACAATGAGATCATGGAGCTACCGAGTCAAGTCGAAACGCTCAAGAATCTTACAAGTCTCAAGATGCGTCATAATTATCTGCGCCAATTACCACTGACATTGTGGAATATAGTGACACTTACAAACCTCGACCTTAGCAAGTAAATTTGTCGGTTTGCCACAAAAAAAGCGTGAGCTACAAGGCTACAAACAGCTGATCTATACTTGTTATTGTCGATGTTTTGTAGCAATGAGTTGGAAGGTTGTATACCGGAAGAATTGGGACAGCTGGTCAATTTGCGGGAGTTGGGACTCGAAGGCAACCGATTGACAATGTTGCCCGAGTCTCTTGGAGAGCTTGTGCACTTGGAGGTGTTACGGATAGATAGCAATCAGCTGCAAACGTTACCTTCGACAATTGGTTGTCTCCAAAATCTGAAAACTTTGTCGGCGCATTCAAATCAGATTATGGAGCTGCCGTTATCATTTGGTTTACTTACGGGCCTGTTGACGCTTGATTTAAAGAAGAACTGTTTGGTAAGGATGAATGACGCTCTTCTTGAGCTTGTGTCGATCAAGTATATCGATCTGCGCCAGAACAAACTGGAAGTGTTTCCGACTTTGCCAAAGAACAACACGTGCTTGGACCAGCTTTTTCTTGGTTACAACGTGCTATGCGAGATTCCAGAAGACGTTGTGTTGAGAGTGATGGAGTCACTCACTGTGCTCGATGTGCGTGACAACAAGCTGCAGCGTTTGTCCGACAAGATCCCTCAGATGTATCGACTGAAGACGCTTGATGTTACAAACAACGATCTGCACGACTTACCTGCAGGACTAGGTTATCTGAAGCATCTTAATCACCTGCTTGTTGAGGGCAACCCATTGCGTTCAATTCGGCGATCTGTCATTTCTTCCGGTACGGAGCCACTCAAGAAATACTTGCGGACTCGCGGTGGCCCTCCTGTAGGAGTTGACGCGATGGAGGAGGAGATTGATGAGTTTGCTATCCGACAGAGAAAAACGCAGGATGAGCCCATGCCAGAAAAACTACCTCAAGAGGTTGAGAACCTGTTCCGAAATGCTGCCGCATCGGGTAACTTGCATCTAGTCGACATGAAACTTCAGCGACTACCAGACCAACTTTGTGCTGGAGCAAAGTACAATTTTGGAGAAAATTTGCTTCAGCTCGATATTTCCAAAAACTGGCTACAGGAGCTACCTGCAACGATTGGCGACTTGAAATCTCTTCGGTTTCTTACTGCAGAGAATTGTGGATTGAAGTCGATTCATTCTTCGATCGCAATGATTCCGAGTTTAGAACGTTTGCGACTCAGCAAAAACTCGCTGACTACAGACGCTATAAATGCCATGCTCATCTTGGAAAATCGTTCTAGTGTATGTCACTCGCTGAAGGAGCTAGACCTCCGCAACAATTTGTTGACAGAGGTCCCACAGAAGCTTCAGTATTTGGAATCGATGGATACTTTAGTGCTTTCGTTTAACCGTCTCCGAGTGATGGACGGATTTCCTTGGTCCACAATGCGTCAGCTCTCTGTGCTAAGCGTTGCTAACAACCGCGTAAGGACTTTGCCAAGTTCAGCGTTTGCAAAGCACATACTGAGCCAACCTATGCTGTTATGTGGTCTTTATGTAGCTGGAGTCATGCGGATCAGTTCATCAAGTGCCAAAGTTGACATCGCTTTCTTTAGAGAACAACGAGTTGCGGCAGGTATGGGAAGTCCATATTGCTTGACTGGATGTGTGCTCATTACGCTTATTCATCTGTTCAATAGATTCCTGCAGAACTTGCGCTCAGCGAGAATCTTCGCGCCCTCTACCTGGATGGTAACCCGCAGCGAGGAATCCGAAACCACATCTTGAATAAGGGCACCGATGCTGTGCTGAAATTCTTACGTAATCGACTTCCTCCAGACATTATGCCACCTGCTAGCGGCCATGGGTCTCAGCACCCTGTCAAAAACGCAGCAAGCCCGGGCTGTGTATCCCAGTCCAATTCGAATAACGATGGAAGCAAGCCTCAGGGCAAAATCATTACCTCGAATACGCTAGAATCGAAGCAACTTTGTGTGAATGCGTCTACTTCGCCGTTCAAGTCGATGAGTTTAAGCTCCGTGCTATCGTCTTCAGAGCCGCCCTTTGCACCAACACCAACACCTGTACAATCCACCGTTGCAGAGGCGTCTTCAGTTGCTGAGGATGAAGTACTACTTGAGTTGAATACCAAAATCCTTCAACTGGAGCAGCAGTTAGACGACGTTGCTGTCACAGCGGCAAAACGCTTTGCTTTGAAAAAAGAGTTAGCCATGACGCGGTCATTGAAGATTCGTCATTTGCGCAAGATCGGTCAGAAGCCGTAGTAGATGCACATCTATATTGTGACATGATTTCCGTATGTGTAAGAGGACTCATAGAAGCTGTTGCCGTTCACACTTTCGAATCAACTACCAGTGCACTATATGACATGCAACTGATATCCGTGGGTCAAACACTGAGAGCATGTAAGAAGATTTATGATAGAGAAGACAAAGTTTAATTCAGATCTTGCATTCGTGCCCGTGAACAATAAGTAATGGTTGCTACAGTGACTCTCAGGTGTCGAATGCTGTATGCAGTCCTTATTTCTCGTGTCGTGCGATCAAGTGAGCGCGTCTTGGGTGACTTGTTTTCCAGCACTCACCGTTGAGAACTTTAGGTAAGCTTTGTATTTGGCTAGCTGTAGATGACTCAGGAATACGGCTAAACGACTGATGTGGTGGTTTGCTTTCTGGTTGTGGTCATGATGTTCTACAATAACAGACAACCAGCACAAGTGGATACTGTTAAGAAGATCGTGTACGAACTCAGCAGCAAAATGCGGGACTAACAAGCATGGCAATATACAGTTAATCTAATGTCAGTCATAGCTCATGCTTTGTTTGTCATTATAAAAGGCTTTGTTACGCAGATTGAAACGATATAAAGTGAGCTGAAAACCGCACTTTAACAGCGCCGAAGCGCTTCATCTCAATAGAATTGGCCTGGTGTCATTGAGGTCCGTCAGCTGTAGGTAAACCAAACACACGGAAGAACAACACAACACATTCTCAAAAAAAGACACAGACCTTTATTACTTGCCTACATAGGGTCGGTCAACTTGTGTCCTCAGGTACGAAAATTTTTCGTGCTTACACAGGCGTTACGACAGGTGAGTCTTGCGCCATCGGCATCGGTTGCCTTCTCTTGTGATAAACATACTCAAATATGAAGCCGGCAAGAGCCACGCCAGCAATCACGGAGCCCACAATAATGCTATTGGAAAGTCCTGTAGAGGAGTTTGCCTCTTGTGTAGAGACCGATCCAGTTGAGTCTGTCAACCCAGCATCTACGTTCGAGACTTCCGTTGACCCGTTCAACGCCGAAGACGAGCCGCTGGAGCCCATTCCAACGGAAAACAACCCCGTGGCTGATACACCACACTGCGATAATGATACCTCAATTTTATCATCCACAAGTTCACCACTCAACGGCGACGCGAGCTCCACAATCACTGTTCCGTTCGTGGTCGAGTTCACTTTGCTCACTTTGCCCACTTCGACCATCGTTTCACTCGAACCGTAGACGCTTCCATCTGCAAATGACAGGTTGAGTGATATGCCCGAGTTCACACAAAAGGTATTCGTTGTCAGAACCAACTCTGAACTTCCAATATCGAACCCGCTGGCATCGGAGATATTAAAAGTCGGGGCCGTCATACTTCCCACGCTCACGAAATTTGACTGCGTGCTGTTTGCCACCTTCATGCCCATAATCAAGTTCGTAGCAATTCCAGTACTCCCGTCACAGGGAAGTGGTTCACTCAACATCACTTTGCCCTTACAGCTTTCTCCACTGCAGCTAACGTTTCGAACATATGCATTGTTCATCAACCCCGTCGTGCACGTCGTGTCCATGCTTGATCCTCTGCAAATTTGTGCCGTATTGCAGCTATCCACGCTCGAGAACCTCAAGCCAGTGACGTCGACATCCGTAGCGCACACCGAGATGTTTGCCGTACCGCTACTCATGACAGCAGCTGCCATCGGCTGAAACGTGGCAACATGAACAACGTCCGTATTACCACCAGACGTCAACTGTGCTGTTAATGTATTGCTGACTCCATTACTTTGCAATGCAATAGCCCAATCTAGAGACGATTCAAAGTTCACGGTGGCAGCGCAATGGTCGGCCGTACACTCGTCCGCTACCACAAGCGACGCCATTACAGGAACTGTCGCATTGTTCACGTCACAGCTTGGAATGGATGATACGCCCAAGTGAATCGAGTAGTCATCACTATCGTCGCTCTCGTAGTTGCAAATATTCATTGTAACAGATCTCGCGCCACCTGTTATGAACATTGCTCTACCATCCAATATACACGTCACACCATTGCATTCTAAGCAGTTATGGGCCGTATAGACGGATGAAAAAAGACTTGATAGGAGTATAAACAACAAAAATGTCTTCATATATTTGGATGATGAGAATTGATGATGGAAGGAAGGAAGAGAGATATAGAACACCTGATGGTGTAGGTCCATTAGTGTCGTTCATACAGTGGTACAATTGTTTCCTAATAAATAGAGCGAGAGTGGTTTAAACACCTAGCCCTGTGAAAGGACACACCTTTTTCTCTATTTAGTCATATTAAAACTAATTGGTGGAAAGAAGGTTGTCGCTCAAATGATACTAAAGTCCGGCAAAGTACCTGCATGTAATCAGATTACGTTACTATTTTGTCTTACTCTAATCATAGTCTATAAAGTTTTGATCTTGTCAATCAACCGGAACAGTTATATTTGCATTAGTGTATGATGATATTCCATGTATGATATCATGCTAATTACATGGTTCAGTATCGCTATTCAAACTATCACCAGAAAAAAGGGGTTTAAGAATTGCTTACTAAAAGCAAGTCAACTGACAAATCCTTGCCTTGTGTGAGACAAATGTCAATGGATCATTCAGCTTGGATGGACGACCGACCGACCACCTTTGTCCTCGTGATAACTTTGCCGTAGTCTGTCTTGATTTTGAGGCAGAAAACGTCCGTTAGCAGATGTAATTTCTGTTACAATGTGGTACTGGAAGAATGAAGAGTGTATACGAATATTATTCATCTAAACTCCATTTGAGCATACTTATGAAAGAAGGAGAGCATCTGACTTTTGCATGAAGGATCAACTCGTAACTGTCCCACTCTCGAAAGGAAGAATTTTCTAGCTGCACTTTCTGTCCAAACAGCCACTTAGTGTGTATGTGACAAAACCTCCAGTTAATTATAATGACTCTATAGTATACCGCTTGATTCTCTTGTATCAAGTATATAATATAACCAATTGCACAAGCATGATCCGCGAAGTGTGGCGCATTGAATTGGGCGTAGGTATAGGACCCTTCCGTCTTGGTGCTAGCATTGCCGAAGCATTACATGCACTGAAGAGTCGATTACCCGTTCATCCCTTTGAGATCTCGTACAATGCTGTTGATCCTTACAAACACGACGTGATCGTGACTTCTGCCGAGGATGGATTTCGTGTGAGGAATTTATATATTTTACCTCTTTGTTGTTATAATGGATTGTATTTACTATTGATAATAATTGGTCCTTTTTTCTATTATAAAGCTACACTTTGATTCGATCCAACAAACACTTCAATCCATTGAATTTTACGATGTTAATCACGTTGCACTAAAATTTGGCCGTGTTGAGATATTTGGCGGAGACATTGCTGCTACTTTCATGTCTGTTTATAATGTATGGCGCTTATAATTGTCTTTTTTTCCTATTGAGAAGTTCATATTTGTCCAGGGTGTTATCGCTCTTTCTCTCTGATATATTGACGTTTGATTCTGTGTCAATGCTCTAGTTATTCGGACCAACGTTTCCAGGCCATTACGATAGTGCTGAACAGGTCGGTTCTTCATTGTCGATAGTTATTTGTTGCTAAAAGGCACTGTGTCTTTAGTGTTGATACTTTTGTGTATGATGACGACATAGAGCTACGTATTGGGTTACAAAGGTGGTTATTTCAAGTTTCCAATTCCAGCCGAGTATCGTCATTTGTACGAAAACGGCACGGACTTGCCGATGGAATTTCCAGTTCGTGTTATTAATCTTTTTTAGATTCACTTCATGTTTCTTTGGAAGATATTGAGTGCCATTTTGTGTGACAGAACGGTGCTACTCCAGCAGCAACAGGTATCACAGTCTTTATGGGTGGAGATTATCGGTCTCCTGAACTTGCAGCTCCAACGAAGAGGTACATTTTGTAAAGTTTGAGTGCTACATGTGGAATGCTAGTGTTTATTGTGGCTGTTTCACAGACACTACTTTGAAGAAGTTGACGTTGACATTGGCAAAGAGCGCACGTCGTTCGTTTTTACTGGCCGAAAGCAGCGCATTCAGCTTGGGTGGTCGCCTCAGGTTTACAACGTATAGCACCTTATCAGATACATATCGCTATGTTTTACATTGTTAATGCATTTTACAGGAGGTAATAAGCGAGCTAGGTGCTCCGGTCTCTGTTTTTCGACGAGCGGAAGATCCCAACGATGGGTACTGTTTAGCTTGAAAAAACTTGAAAAGTAACGATATATAAATTGCTGATGCTTTTCTTGTCTTGATGTTGGATTGGCAGGGCTACTGTTGCTGGAGGCCTCGTCAGTGACTATTTTCACAACTACCCTCACTTGGGACTCGACATTTTGTACGATACGATGCATCGTGCCTCAAAGGTGATTCTGAAGACCAACGCGCTGGGGTAACGCGTCTACGAGTTTGCAGGTTTTTCGTGCAAGCTGGTATACTCACTGGTGATTACGTATTGTTCCTCGATTACAAACTACAGACACCCCGATTTCGGCACCTACAACAAGTGCAACTTCCGTCTGCGATTTCAGACCGGAATGCCAACGACAGCCAGCTCAGAAATCACGTCTCAGACACCGGTACACTCACTTTTTGGGTTTTTTGTGAGCAAATGAATTGAATGTTTTGACATACCACAATATTGGTGCTTTATAGTGGCAGGATATCCGCTCAGTATTTGGAGGAGCGTCGGACTTGCGACCCATCGTCCATGATAACGGCTTGGGCCTTCACCCGTTCGGCTCAACCTTGTGTTACTCGCCAACACCAGGGTGCATCTTTGAAGTGATGAAGAATGGTTTCATTGCCAGCGTCACGCTCACATTCTCGTGCTAAACAAATTTTCGTTTCTACATGTACAAGGGTTCATCTCGCATCCTGAGCAGTGCGTACTCTATCGAAAGTTTATGCGTACAGGTATGCACATTTCAACGAGTGAAAAAGAGAGGTTGATTCAGCGCTGCTTACAGCAACTTGGATCGTAAGGCTATCTTCGCGGTGGTTGTGGCTGCTGCTGGCTATTTATTCCATAGTGTGCTGGCGGATGTGGCTGCTGCTGGCTATTTACTCCGTAATATGCTGGCGGCGGTGGAGGCGGGGGCTGACGGTACCGTAGTGGCTGGAGTTGGTCGTAAGATATGCTTCGTGCTTGCTGCGGCTGCAAGTAAGCTGCAGTTGGTGGCCGAGGGTACTGCTGGTACGGGGCCTGAGGAGACTGGGCCTGCGGTGGGTATGGAGGCAAGTTGTGCGCGCTGTACTGCGATGGCGAGGGCTGGTAGTAGCCATGCGATGGAGCGTGCTGAGATTGTGACATACCCACTCCATGGTACCCCGGTGTAGGCGGCTGGGACACTTCATGCCCTCGAGGAGACGTATATTTTGTACTTCCATACACCACGGGCGGCCTTGCTCCGGGAAAACCGCCTGGATGCGTGTATTTCGTCACGCCACCGTATGGCTGAGTTTGAAGCGCAGGAATCGTAGGCACACCGATAGCAGGCGTCGTGGAAATCAGTGGTTGCTGCCCATAACTACTGCGATTTCCATGAATCACAGTGTTATGTCGAGCATGGTAATCCGTATACTTACCCCCGCGACCACCTCGACGACCATGACCTCCGCGTCCACTGTAAGATGGGATGAAGCCAGCATTGTCGCCAGCAGTGCTATGCGCACCACCCCGATTGCGCTTGCCATTTCCTCGCTTTGAAGCTGCCTCGGCTTCGTCATCAGAGAATTCCGTTTCATCAGTCTCTTCGTCAAATAGATTTGAAGCATCCGTGCCTTTGTCTTTGATATTCTCCGGAATAATGTACGTTGTGTGCTCCGTTGCGTAGTAAACGGCAACATTGACCGCAGCCTTTTCGGGCATCTTGCTTGCATTCTCAAACCGAATTAAATACATTGGCATCAGCACGGGGCCAAAGATTTCATTGATACATCCAATTACCGTCCGGTCTTCAAGACATAACACACTTCCTTCGTCCAATGGTCTACTGTTTGGATTGGATTTGATCGTCATCATGAGACCGGGCACACTCACATTCAAGATATTGCCACAATGAACAATTGGACAGGTCTTCGTCAGTTCCACATCTGGCTCACGCACAGGCGCTACGACAACCTCATGCTCAGTTGTCAAAGGTCCATTTATCACATTGTCTTGCTTTGTCATGACCGCTTTAATCTCTGCCCGCAACTTGGCAGTGTCTTCACCCACTTCATCACTTGAACTCTCATCTACATCTTCAGTGACAGACTTGTTAATCTCTACCGTCTGTTGCTTCATATCCGCTTCGTCCTCCGAGCTGTCACTATCACTATCGTCTTCCTTGTCATCAATAAGAACAGCCACCATTGGCATTTTAGGAGCCTCACTCATACTTGTAGAATTCTCAAACTGTGCCGTAACGGAATGAAGCTCAGCATCTGCATATTGTGCTGCAACTGCCAAGTCTGATACCGGCTCGGACACTAACGGCGCAATCATGATACAGTACAATTTGACTCTGCAGCGAGCGAAGTCAGGAGCTCCAATCAAAAGTTATGGGAAAAAAACGGTATACCAAACCTATACAAATGAATACCGACTGATAAACGGCATCAGACGATTAAACCAAAGGAGCGTAATATATTACAACTCATTCTTCCTGCCTACCACCTGCTGTAATCGTGTATACAATAAATCGAAGCGTTTGACTACACAACATGCGACGGTACGTATTTACTTTCCTGATAAGTTCTCTGTAACATCATCTTGAATAATAAACGCAATGATGATCTTTTGGGCACAATTTACTTATACTGCGCTGTCATTGGCTAAAAACACGTGATCAGCAACTGAAAGATCTCTTTACTCTTCATTCTTCAATTTGCTTGGTAAAGTACACAGACACTAGCGTTACTTCAGTAAAACCACCCTCTAAGATGTCATTTGAGCTACCAAAGATCCCGTATGAATACAACGCGCTTGAGCCGTTTGTTGATACGGCGACCATGAACATTCATCATACGAAGCATCACCAAGCTTATGTGACTAACATTAACAAGTACATCTCGTCGGACAAGGGCGACGCGCTCAAGGGCAAGTCGATTCTTGAGGTTATCAAGTCAGCCACGGATGCGCCTGTGCGCAATAATGGCGGTGGTCACTACAATCACTCACTTTTTTGGACGTGGATGACGTCGCCTGGGTCCACGAACACGGCCCCGCACGGCGCCCTCAAGACCCGTATTGAGGAGGACTTTGGCTCGCTTGATCAGATGAAGCAGGAGTTTAATGCCGCTGCGTCATCACGTTTTGGCTCTGGCTGGGCGTGGCTTGGTGTCAAGGAAGATGGCAAACTTGCCATTACTTCCACTATTAATCAAGATAACCCGCTAATGCCTAACGTGGACCAGCCACTTATTCCCATTCTGGGTCTCGATGTGTGGGAGCACGCCTATTATCTCAAATACCAGAATCGCCGCCCGGAGTACATTTCAGCCTTTTGGAACGTCGCAAACTGGGACAAGGTTGTCGAGTACTACGACAATTATGCCTCGAAGGGCAAGGCCGTGGACATTTGAAGTCGAGAGCAAGAGGAGACTGTAGTGACGCATTCGTTGCTGTGAGTAAAGATGAGCTTGGAAAGACTTTTGTGTCTCCTTGAGGTTGTGATTTGTTTTCTTTGGTGAACAAGTAGACGGGTGTCTTTGAAGATAATCAAATCGCTCGCTACTACTTGACGCTTTCCTAAAATCTAATTTCAAATGGACTATTTGAATCTATTTGACTTTTTTGGTGTTACTTATGATCGTGGCAACTGACGATAGGGCCTTGTAAATGATGCAGCGCTACTACTTTGTCTACAATCAAGCTGTCTAAGTAGGCAAGGCATTTGTCATCTGCGCCGATGCATTCAATCGGATGCGGTACGATTTAATGCATGTTAAGCTGTACTGAGCCGCCGCTGAGATGTTCAATTGTATTTGCTCGCGTATCACTAACATATGACGATCATTTGATAGTATTCGATTACTAAATATGCTGCTTAGTCCAAGCCATAAGTCCGTTGTCAAGATCAGTGATCGTCGCTCACATTCAAGCTACAGCTCCAGTTCGTCCCGCTACTATATAACGCACCGTTCCGCAAATTTAAACCAACGCGTTTCAAATGGACGCTCGCCTATGCTGTCATGTTTCTATGATGCACTGTGTGTTAAGTGGCTTCCAACTTAGCGTGAAAGACGTAAACACGCACCACCTGCGCGGTCCATCAAAGCTGCACAGCAAGACAATGCTCAAGTCTTAGTGACGTGAGTATAATACAGTCCCCAAAGATCTGGTCGTCAATTTTACGATACACATGTAATTGCATGACCAGGAGAAGAACATCATCATATCGTTATGATGTAGTATCATAGCGAGGGCTACTAGATCGCTACAGGGTTGGTAGAATCAGCCAACTAAAACACACGTAACTCGTGCCCATTCTGAAGTAACAGCACCAGCTTGACGATTCAGTGGTGCCAATTACCCGAAGCCTTCACCGCTGAATGATTGTTTTAACATGTACAAAGTATGTACTTAACCATAAAAAACATTGCTCCAACGTCGTGAGCGGGTCCGTAACGGATTGTGCGTCTCCTATCTACAACAATAGATGCTCCTACTGCAGAAAGTCCTGCAGCAGAGAAAAGCAACGGGAATGAATGTTCATTTGCTACGAAGCCTCTTGCTCCAGTGCTACCTACGCGTGGTGATGGTAAAGCAGACATGATGTGCTTTGAAAAGTGATGGTCTAATTTATCGTTGGAGTTGTGACCGTAACATTCCCACTTGTTGTTACTGATGCTTTCATATAAACAAACAGTATTACACTTCTCTCGCATTTTGTATCATATAGGAAACAAGCGCGTTCACGCAGTGCAAGACGTAAACAACATTACAATCACCTTCAGACGTACTTACAAATAGTACATGTACACGTACGTATATGTACCATCGGCATGCGATGCCACGCTAAATGAAGTGTTTCGTCGTCTCGCTTGTACGAGAAGACTGCATTCTTTGAGGATGTCAACTATCAGCACGCTGCAAAACGCACTGACTTCCAGACGGAATAATGGCGTTGCAAAGTATTGAGGCACGTCAATCGATTTATGGATGGTAGTGCTGCCATTCCGTCATTATAGGGTTCGACCATGCCAATTAACATTCGATTGCCGAATCACTACGTCGGTGTTTAGATTCAAGCCAGTCGTAGATGGTCTCCATGTGGATGACAGCGCTTGAATATCGAAGCCGTGCAAGGCGAAAGAAAACAATACGAAAAAGTGTTTCTATGCGCTCTGCTCTACATTCTATAGGTAGAAAAGAGGAGGTAAAGGCAACGACTACTTTCCACATGCTAGATGACGCTTGGCGTGACCAGCTGGTTGCAGTTTTCAGCTGCGTATGTATACAGCTGGCTTGTTTTGGTTATTGACGGGACATCTTACCGACTTTGACGCCCAGTCTGATCTTTTTGGCCAGAGACGAGACTGCTAGTAAACCCAATTTCAACATCCTTTTTATATTGGCTGAAAAACAAGCATGAATATCGATGCGATTGCCAATCATGTGGCATTTGTTATTTCTTACCTCAACAGAATGAGCACGTACTTGCCGAGCGGCTACTTAACACACGCAAAGCACTTTCGTCCATCAACCGTTACTGGACCATTAGCTGCCTACGAGTTGGACGACGGCGACGACTTTTATTCGGACATTGACGTCGTCGAGCGAGATATTGACGCTGAGATTGAGGCGCGGCAAAAACAACCCGACGTTGCTTCAGCGCGTGCCTTGCCGCCTTTTTCGCCACCAGCTCTTCGTACAATGTCGCAACGGATGCTGCAATCATTACAACAACAACGTGCGCAAAACCGAGCAGCAGTTGAGTTGTCACCACGTAGACGAACGTCTAGAGCTGGAGAAAGAAACATGGGAAACGTCAAGGCTGACTTGAGCTCGGTGGCGAATAAAAGGACGCCAGTGTCTAGTAGTGTCACAATGACAGATACTGCATTTCATACGTCGCTATCATCGCGCTCTAGATCCTCGTGCACGGATCGACTGGAAGCTAGGATTTCCAAGAGTTTTCTAGCGCGAAAAGATCATGGACCTGGATGTAGAGTGATGAAGGGAGAACAGGACGAGCCATTGTTGTATTCGGAACGAGAGACGTATCCAGCCATGTCTTTGAGAAAGACAGAGGGGTATGGAAGAATGTCAGATAATCAATTTAGTAATGTGTCTACTCCTCAAGTAACCAAGATGCTGGAGATAATGGATAAGGAACGAGCCATGAGGACTATTCGACCTACTGTATCTTGTTCTGACATACCTTCGGATACTAAGAAGGATAACGGAGTGATGTTTCATTTTCAGCGAGGATCGTCGGTAACGAACGATGTGTTGAATGTTCGAATGGAAAGGCTAGCGTTGACTGACGGTAGAGCTGACACGCGTGTAGCGAATGCATTAGTGAAAGCGCAATCTTTGAAGCGTGTGACGGACCCAGAGTACATGAGTTTAGTCTCGCAACTGGCTACGACGGAGTCAATGGTGGATAGCATTGATAGCTGTATTAAGAAGCCATCGTTCTTGAATTTTGCTGCACATATGTTGAACGAAATGGAGTTGCTTGTTAAGACGACACAGCAAATTCGCACGAACGGCACGACTATGATTTTAGCCAACGTAGGCAAGCCCCAGCATGCTGACATGACACAAGCACTTCGGCGCCTCGTAGCGAGAGCAGTATTGGTTCAGAAGCGTATTGGTGTGGTCATGAACGCGGTCAAGCAGCTTGTGGTATGAGCTGTTAGTAGTTTGTCGTCTAAGTCGTAAACAGCGAGAATAATTTATGGCATGCGATCGGCAAATTTTTGAATAAGAGATGATGAGACGGACACGGCGATGCACGTTTGTTGCACGTTTTTGCATTTTTGCACATTTCAACAATACATTCTTGCCTATTTGAAATACATAATTGCACAATTGTTATTGCATGTAGCCTATTTTCATCACAAAATGATTCCGCTGTGTTATATGTAATAGATCCATCTGTTGAGCAAAATACAAAACAAACAGAGATGCAAAATAATTAGTTGAATAAAACTAAATCATGATTGAAGACGTCGCTGTTCCATCTTAACCGTTGTTTAGTACGTTGCTCACCATCGTTACAAGGTCGTGACGTATGAATTCAGCTAATGCTCGATCCTAAGTTTGCGAGGCCCGGCTGAGGTACGTTTCAATTTAACGTAACATGACCCGATTAGAACAGAAGACATGCGTGTGAAATGAATCTTTGCGCGCTTTTGCTCGGTGTCAGCAACATTGAACCGTATTGTCATTGTTCAGATTGCACTTTTGATAGAAAAAATGTCGGCTTCATGCGTGTTGTTCTTGCTATACTGACCACTAGCCTTTCCACCTCGTAATATATTGAAATTAGATCTATGCTGCGCAAACTAAGCTTACGAATGAATGCACTAAACAGCTTTGATGACCCGGCATCTTATCCGCTGATCCGTTTACATTCGGAAAGTAGGCCTGTGATACCAATGGAGGTCAGTACATTAGCTTCTGGGTCTAAAAGTCACCCAAGAGAATGAGCAATGCACCTTTTTGAAAGGAATCCGACTCGCTGCGAGGCGTGCAGCGGGGTTTTCGGTCGCATGATCTGAGCTCTCGATCCCCCCCATTGGCTGAACAGAAGAGCGTGAAGATCCACCTGTAGCAGTAAACACGTAAGTAGTCCGAATCAACGACAACACGCAGCCATTTAGCAGCAAAACACACCGATCTGAGGTCTTGAAAATCGATCGAACATGCCGATATTCGGTCTTTGAATTGCACGTGGCGTTTCTGGTCTTCCCATGCTCATCATTGGATTCCGCGAGGTCGACGAGTTGGATGTATCGCCCATGTATGGCCTAGCCATCGGTCTCATTGAAGGACGGCTAAATTGGCTGGCTTGAGTGACGAGTGCACCGCCTTCGCCTTGATGCATCATCCCCATTGTTGAACGGGTGGGGGACGGGAATTGTCGGACATTACTTGATTGAGATTTTAGTGTCTTGCACTGACGAATAGAAGTTAGTCTTGTGTTCTACACTTGACAAGAACAATTTTGCGATGTCACCATTTTTTCCCAGTTCCTGCATTTCCTTGACTTCTCCTTGTATGCCTGCAGTCATGGAATAAGCGCCAGAGAAACGTAGGTATGAAAACAAGGAATTGAATGCAAACTTACCTCGCGAAGCTCATCGTTTGAGGTTGTCAAAGCTTGCATCTTTGCCTTTGTTTCACGTAACTCCGCTTCAAGCTGGTCAGTGTAACTTTTCAGCTGAATGTACTTTTCTCCATGCTGAATCTGAAAAGTCTTCTGTTCTTCCGCTGCGATACAAGGCATTCATTGTGCTTTCACGCTACGACCTTGAAGGGCCATCACAATATCAACAAACCTTGTTGGCGTCGAGTTTCTTCCTATTGATGCAAAGACAACTTGAACGTGAGATCGCAAAACTACAAGTCTGCTTGAACTCGATTCAACGTTCACCTGTCTGCTCACGAAGAGTCAGTATGACATTGCATGTTCATTTAGATACTGACTTACCTGTATGAATCTTGCGCTAGCTGAAACTGCAGTGGAAAATATAGTTAGACCATGATCGTATCTGTACGAACTATCGGTGCATGAATACCAAGATAAAGTCTGCAAAAATAAACAATGTCAGCACCATACTGATAATCACTGTGATATAGCGTACCTAGTGCTTGCTGGAAGTGTTCTTTGCAGCATTTGTACCAAGTAAGTTAAGTCGTCATCGGTCTGTAGTCATTACAACGACAAGTTCGTACCAAAGCATGATGATGGATCCGCCATCATCTCTTCCCAAATGGCCTATTCAAAGTGACATGGAATAAGCAGCACGAAAATACCTTCACACAGACACTACAACACACAACCTCTGTCCTCTGTTCAAACAGGATACACACCAGCGTTAGTATTAACTTTCTTTTGCATCAGTATCAGCCTACCACAACCTTGGCGTCCGCTATACCATGAATCGTTCTGTCATACTGTCAGTTACTATATATAATCAACAAGGATATAGCTCTCCATTTTGTACAATTACGTTTCAGAGATTCCTCTACGCCTTCAATAAGTCAACAGACAATCAGCTATCAAACGACCATAACATGACACCAAAGATAGTGTAAAGAACCTACGCTTGACTCAAGTCTGCAACAAGTCGATACAAACAGCAACAACATCGAAACATGTCAGTTCATTCATCTTCTGACGAGCTACAAAATCATTCAGCTACTTCGCCTACCGACGCGACAGGCAGGACACTCTAATCTTCCCTGTCCAAAGTGTTTGTACGCGCATTTCTCCTACAGCTCACAGACACATATCAGCAGCAATGTAATCTGTCTATACCAAACCAAATATCTACTGCCTACACAGAACAAATGTCCACAGCTTGTACGGTAGCACGTCTCAGCAGACTGCGCGTCGGGCAGGATCGGCTCCCAGCACGCGTTGCAGCGCAGTTGCGGTCGGATATGCGACCCTGATGGTGTGGACACGTCGCCGGCGCCGTCCAGATCTCCTATCGTCGATGATGCGCGTCGCTGTCCACGATTACGCACGCTTGACGTCTCACTCATGCGGCTGTCGTCATCCATGGCACTCTTGAGCAATGCGGAAAAGCAGTGCGGGATACGAGGAGTGATGGTCGTCACTTCAACTTGTGATATGTTAGCATTTCTAATTTTTCATCTTCATTCGAAGTCAAAGTCGTTATTTCTAATTATCACATGTTAATTTCTATTTAATACAGTACAAAGACTAAATACAGTACATGCATCGGTAGTTGCTTAATAAGCATGGCGGACGTCACCGCCGTTGAGCAGGACACAAGTGGATGGCATGAAGAAGAAATGACATTGACAGCTTTGGAACTGCCAGCTGTTCCTCCTACATCCGATCCACAGCGATTGTTGGGCTATGTACTGCACATTCTTCCTCGCTACACTGAGATGGAAATGCTGTCGACTCACCTGCGACTTTACGTATCGACTCTGGAGCAGGACATGGAGCAAATCAAGTGCCATGTACGTTTACTTACACGTGAGGCATCAAGTGAGAGAGAGAAGAGGCATTTTTTGGAGAGATACGCGGCACAGGTGGTCAAGGAGCGCAACGACCTCTTGCATTCTGGAGGATCCTCGAAGAAGAAAGCAGCGGCAAACTCGCACTTTGTATGGCACAGCTGCTGTAAAAAGAATTTACGTCATGCAATGGATTTAGCGCCATCGATTGTTGCTTTTCGGGGTGAGAAGCTGCAGGAAGCGACGAAGCAGGTGGAGTCTCTGCAGGCAGAAGTGCACAACCAGGAATTGCTGCGGAAAGAGCTCGACTTCCTGCTTAAGAAAACGCAACGTGAACATGATAGCAAATTGTTAGCGGATCGCAAGCACATTCAGCAGCTGGAGAAGCAGATTTTGCAGCGCTCGTCTTTGCACTCGAGTCTAGAAAGGAAATTATATGAAGTCGAGTCTCTGCTTGCTAGACATGAGAGATCAAAGGAAGAGGATCTGGGTATATTAAGCAATCGTATTGAAGAGGCGCAAGCCCGTATTGCAAGTCTGGAAAAGGATAATGCCAATTTGCGTGAGCAGGTGAAAAGAACGGGCGACGACAGAGATCGCTTGACGGTATTGCTAGAAGAAACAACCGACAGCAAGAATGTCTTTGCGAAAAAAGTTGATGAGCTGCAAAAAGAGTGTCAGTCGCTGAAGTCTGAGGTAGAGGCTTTACGGTCCGAGATTGATATGCTGCAAACTACAGATATCAATGACATTCGCACGCAGTACGCTGCCAGAATAAACCAACTGCAGAAGGAGAGTGGCGCCAGGGAGGAAAAGTTGCGCCAAGAGATAGATCGTGTGAAGCAGGATTTACGAAATCGTGACGAATTGCTAGTACAGGCATCAAGTGTACGCCAATCTACAGCAAGAGAGAGTTCTAGACACCCTTTATCAAGTGTAACGAGCGGCTTGGAAAGCATACCTTATCCTAATAGCACTTCCAAATGGAGTGATGGTATCTTTGACAATGACCGCCAACTAGAAAGTGACAGAGTGGGGTCCTCTTCATTGATAAGTAAATCTTCTGAGCTGCGTGCAGCTTATGATTTAGCATCTTCGAGTGATGAAAACGACTTGAAGGAAGTTGAAGCTGACAGCAACATATTATCGATGTCAAGCTACAATGGACATTCACCTGATCAAAGCTGCGTCAATTCTAGCAAACTTGGCTACTCGAGAGAACTTGATGCAGTTTCCAGAGACCTTAGTACGTCGTCCAAAGAGCCCGACGCACGAACTCATGAAGATGATCCAGACGCAAGTGCTTCCAATGAGCCATTTGACTGGGAGACGTTTATTGACAGTGCTTCTGAGGTTTCTATCCTGCAAGATGAGCACCAAAAACGCTCTCCTTCAGCTATTGCAAGGCACTTGGAACTTAGCACTAGCACAATCTGTCACAATGACAGCTTTTTGAGATTGTCCAGTCCTCGGTTGACAGGGTCAAATTCTGCCCGTGCGGAGAGTTTCGTGGGCGAACAGCAACAATCCGGCGAAGGTAGCTTCCATATTTCTGATGCAATGAACAATGTATCGCTTTCCAATCAAAGTCTCGCTGAACTTGAGTTTGAGCACGATGAGGAAGAAAAGGAGTCTAATAAGGATGATACGCTTGTGAATAACAAGCAGGAGGAGCGCTGCAATCGAATCTTTGATACTAAAGCTATGGAAGAACAGCCTGGTGAACACAAAGGAAGCACAATGAAGGGAGAACATGCTCAAAATGAATTGGCTCGAGAGTTATACCAAATGCTCAATGGGCTCGAGCAGAAGCGCAAAGAAGAGGAGCAGAAGGCCATACAAGCAGAGCAGGCTTTGCTAGAGTTTCAGCAGTTGCAGGAGAGCCTTCATGCCTTGCATGTTCCTCCTGTCTCGCCAAAAGAATCAAGGAGGTGAGCAGTATCTGGACTTGTCTTGCTTAAGCTACCGCTCATATTAAATGAGCGATGTTGATCCAATCGTATCCTTAACTTTGTAATCGGTCGGTTGCGGACGGGCCTCGTACACGCACTCAACCACACCATGACGCCACTGTGAATACAAAAGAACGAAACAAGCTCCATGTCAATGTTGACATCGTCAAAAGATCCAACTCCACAAAATGTCTGCACCTTCTTGCTTTCTCCCTTGAGCCCAATATAATAGACTTTTGTTTCATCACCTCCATAGCTGTCCTGAAGAAATAGCGTCACATTGCAAACACCTTGAAACTTACGGACTCTACAGCAATACGTAAAACAGTGAGTGAATCATTCGCAAAACATCCCCAACTCTAGTTGTATACGTAAGTCAGACATACTGAAGCGGGTAGTCAATATTTGCCGAGTCATCCTCGATCAGATCCAATTTCTGTTGTGCAGGCAGCTCATTTGCGTTGGAAAAGTCGATATCGTCTCGATTCGTGAACCTAACATTGCCACAACTAATGTAAGCAATCTCTCGCCCTATTTTTCGTCTAGCTAAGAGCTTCGTACAGTTTGACGACTTTCGGATGCGTGCCATCGCCTGCACTGCCTGAAATGCAGATAGATTTGATGCTCACAGCCTCGGTAAAGGGGATAAATAATATCATCTCTGGATCATCTTCATTGCTTCCCAAGAAGCGCGAACGGTCCTGACGTTCGTGAAAAGGCTTGAATGGGTTTGCAACTGCTTGTGGGTCAAGTGCATTGAGTACTCGTAATTTACTAGTGTCAATGAACGGGTAGAGTGAGTCTCCATTAGCATCCTCTACTTCATGGTCATGGTCATGAATATGGCTGTTATGACCACCATGTGCCGAGTGTTCATCGTGGCAGTGTTCCATGTTGAGAAGAGGTTACAGAATGGTGTTATTGATTGGTTGAAATACACAATGGAGTGTGTATGTGTCTCAGCTGATCATGATCTATTCGACGAGTGTATCTCGCCATCGGATCAAAAGCTTGTAGCTGTGGATGGAGGTGATACCTTTACGATTGGAATAGTAGCTGACAATGGTGAAGTAGTTGGATGGGGACGAGCGTTCTACGGTGAGTTACCAGAAAAGCCTGTACACATAGAGCCATGCAAAGCAGTAGCATGCGGCTCGAATCACGTCTTGGCTTTGACTGCCTCAGGTCATGTCATGGCGTGGGGATGGAATAAAAATGGTCAAGTCACAGCAGCGGCAGCAGAAAACGTTGTGCGTATTCCAACGACTGTGAAATTTCCTATTCAACCGCAGGATCATTTACCTGTGCGGATCGTCGAGGTAGCTGCTGGAGGAATGCACTCGATGGCAATTGACACCTTTGGCCGTGTCTGGACATGGGGATGCAACGCTCATGGACAACTTGGCACTGGCTCAGAAATCAAGCAATTCAATGCACTATCGCTTGTTACACTGCCGCACAACGTCCATGTCAAGAGAATTGCTGCTGGGTGGGCACACAATGCGTTCATCTCGACGACAGGCGAGGTGTTCACTTTCGGTTGGGGGCAATATAACCAGCTTGGCCACGGCTCTACTCAAGACGAGCTGCGTCCTGTTGTCGTTGATGCTCTCCGTGGACTCGACAGTGACGTTGTGCAGGTTGCATGCGGCAACTGGCACACTGCAGGTAAGCCTATCCTACTACTCTTTGATCCTTTCAGCAAATAAGCATTTTAATCGAATTGATGACGATCGTGTGCCAAGCGCTGACAGCATCCGGTGATCTGTACACGTGGGGCTGGGGCAAGGATGGTCAATTGGTGCGTTTTAATGCAAGTAGACCCCATCATACATATGTGCATTGACATTGGTCTTGTTTTTCTTAGGCCCATGAAGCTTCTGTTGCAACACAAGTACTTCCGCGCGTCGTGAACGTATCGTCAAGTTTAGGTGTGAGTGACGATGGCCAGGACGTGATGGCAATTGCGTGTGGCAATCGCTTCACCTTGGCAGTGTGTCGTGACGGATCTATCCATTGGTGGGGTCCGCAGCCAGCAGGATTTGATGTGCACGGTATTCTGGCCTGCCATAAATTGTCACGACATCCAGGGTGGCTACCCCAGGATGGACTTCACGTTCGCAAGCTGGCAGCTGGCAATTCGCATGCTCTTATGCTGATAGAGAGAGTACAAACAGAAAACGCTGAAGGCACTACGTAAGAAAGATGTGCCACCAGGGCATATTGGTAACACATTGAATGGCGTTGGAGTCGCTGGAGAAAGGAAGTTCGGACAAACCTTTGATTAGTACTAAACTCCACATTATCTCTGTCAAAAAGTTGTTTTGGTCATAAGACCAATAAGTTCTCCGTCATGACACAAGAGTGTCAAGCAAGGAAGTAACAACAAAACTCGCTCTAAGTATACGATCACATGACGGTGCAACTACAGCCGCACGCACCAGCAGACTCCTCCGCCTTCTTCTTGTCCGTCTTCTTCTCGTGCTTGGCCGCCTTCCGCTCCTCCTTCATCTTCTTCACCTTGGCCACGCTATCGTTCTTGTATCCCTCCACGGTGCTCGTCACCTTTGCTGTAATGTCCTTAGCGTCCTCTACCACCTTTCGCGTCTTGTCCTTGACCTTCTCGGCTGCGCTGGCGTTTGGCTTTGGGGCAGCATTCCAGATCACATTCTCCTCTTTCTTGGCATGCTTTGAATGGGCGGGAGTGGGCTTAGCAGCTTGAGGTAGCTCCTGACCAGCCACAGGAGCAACGTTCCATGGAGAATCCGACATTGTGTACTGATTGCAAGTCTGAAGTTTAGGTCGAAGGCGAATCGCCGAATGAGCCAGAAGATCGACCCTGGGCGACCTGATTTGGAAAGTCAAATGGATATTTGATACAAACCTAAAGTCAAATCTGCAACCAATTGCAAGTGCTGGTGGAATGCAATACTAAATTCTAAAGGGAAGATGTAATCATATGGTTCGATCAATTTTCAGCAACGTTAAAATCCACACTGGGACATACAAAGCCGTATACAAACCTCAAAACAAATCAAGGACTAACGTATCTCTTTAGTCTTGCGAGCAACTCGCCTTTAAGAGCAAGCGCCGCAGAATGGCACGCTACGTAAGTAAGTAATTAAGCAAGCTATTGGATACTACATCCACCGACACCGCAGCATGCTACAGGAGTATCCGCTGACTTGGCGGCAACCGCTTCGACGTTTGGGATCTTCTTGACCTTGGTCACGCTGTCGACCTTGTAACTAGTTACGCCGTCAAACGCGTTCGCAATGGCTTTCTTATCAATCTTGACGTCCTTCACCACATCCTCCGTGGCCATTACAACCTCCTTGACGGCCGCTACATCCGCCTCTTTGGTCACCTTCTCTACGACGGCAGGTTCCTCGACGGGCTCTTCTTCCCTTACTGGCTTCACCATTTTATCAACCTTACAAACGTCAACTTCCTCTTGCACAGGAGTCGTGTTCCAGGCTGGAGACATATCAAGAGCCACATTCTCTGCTCCAAACACAGCAGAAACTTCTTCGACAGGAGCCTCAACCATTTCGGCTACTGCCACAACTTCCTGTTCAATCGGCTCCTCTTTAATAATGTCCGCCTTTTTCAGAGCGTCTGCTTGGACAGAAGTTGAGTTCCATGCGCTTAACACCGGACCGTCTTCTTCAACACATGTCTCCACAACGGACTTAGGAGCCGCCGTCACATATTCCGGCGCCTCCGCCACTGGATCGGGTGTCTCCACCGCAAGCTCAGGCGCGGCTATCTTGACAGACGCAGCTTCTTCCCACACCGCCGCCGCCGCCCAAGAACTAGAATCGCGTTCCTGGCCAGAAGCTGCAGTCCATGGACTAGCTGTCTCTAGAGGCGGTTCCTCAACAAACTGTGACTCAACTTCCACTTCAATAGCAGCAGCTTCCACCGCCGGTTCAACGACATCTTCCGGAGCAACAGATTTTCTTACAACGGCAATCGCCTTTTTTGTCGCAACTGGGACACTTTCCTCCAAATCAGGCGTAGAAGTCCATGCACTAGAAGCTGCGAGAGCTTCCTCCTTGCTCGAAACGACAGTTTCGTCGACAACTGGAGCAAAGGCTTCTCCAACACGCTCTACCGGGGCAGACGCGGCAACAACTGCAGGCTCTTCTGCGACTCCAGCATCTTCATCAGCAACTGCTTCGTTGACAACAGGTATCGTCGTCCACGCACTTGTAGTCGCTTCCTTTACAGGAACACGAACCCGCACACTCCTCGGCTCCTCGTCCTGCTCCTGCGCTCCTAGCTTCTCCTTCTCCACGACTGCCTCCTCTACTAGTTCATCCACAATAGTAGCAAAAGTCTTCTTCACAGAATCAAGTGTCTTGTCCACGACCTGTTCATCTACATCAGACGTCTCTGACGTCCACGATGACGTCGGTACCGTCTCTTCAGCTGTCGCAAGAGGCGCTGTTGTCCAAGGCGATGAAGCAACGGGATCTTTTACCTCCTTCGCGGATTCAAATGCCGCCGCAAAAACGGGCGTCGGCTTTGTCGTGGTCAGTTGATCGTCCATTTTGTCGGGACTGACCACATCAGACTCACGTTCCGTCTTCGTATGCGACGAAGAAGAGTCTGGAGTCCTGAACGGATTGCTGGTCTGGAAAGGAGATACAGACCACGGACTCACAGCCTCAGGACTGGTACTAGTGACGGGGGCAACATTCCACGGGCTGCTGTTCTCGGAGTTCATGCTGGTTTTAGACAATTTGTACTTCTGCAAGAGTTTAATCACTGCAAACATCCACAAGACCCAGAAAAAGAGGCAGAGTTAAGTAAACAAGTGAATCAAGGCTGTCAAAACCACAAGTGAGAGCGCAGTTGCGGTAAATATGTGCCTAAGTATCCCAGATGCCTGTCGGTCATATCTACCGCAACACTTGGGAACTGTATGCAATGCATTCTGTCCCGCTCCGTCTGCCTCACTTAGAAGTTCTATGCCAAACAGAATCGGACACTTTTGATTGAACGCACCTCGCTTTTCACCAACAATGTCACAGTCTATATGCTATCCCTTAATGCCGTTTGTACAGCGCTTAGTAGAACTCAACTCAAGATTGTTTGATAATGAATGACCTTATTCATTCGAATCAAAGAGCACGTTGTCATCGAGCGGCTGCCGCTTGTTCTCGTCCATCCCGATGTTCGGACGGAAAAAATTCAGAGCAAGAAATCAGGCTGCTTCTATTAAAAAGTTCTATTGCGTTTGTGATTTTTTAGATGGCTACACCAGATGCAGCTGATTTTCGCACAAAACGGGCAGATTTCTAAAGGTCTGGACGATGAACGTGCAAAGACGATCCAATTTAGACTGAAAATTATAAGAAAAAGTAATAGTGACAACTTTTGTCATCTGATTGAATGATGGAAAATGTTGCCAGAAATACTGATTCGCTTTGTGTTGGTTGCTATGCAGGGTACTACTTTGATATGGAGATTGGTTCAGCACAAGTGATCTGCTTTGATTTACCAGTGCTCTCTCAACGAGCAATTTGCGCGCTGTAGTTCTCACTAAAGGTGCCAACGCCAAGATTTTATCTTAAGTAATGTACAGCACGGTACATGAACGATGCCAAGTAGAACGGAAGCAACTTTTGAAAACAGTCGGGTCCTACCTGTTCGTGCACTTGATATATGACAAAGTCAATTGAGCTTTTGACAAGGTTGTTCCACAATTTTTCTTGACTCGGTAGACCCGCAAGGACGTTGTCTCACACTTACACGCGAACTGGACACTTTTGTAAATCGTACTCATGCCGAGATAGTCGACGATTATGACAATAACGAATTTTGCCTGCATTGTCTTCCGTCAGAACGATCAGAGTGGTATTTGACTCAGCCGTCGTTCTCAACGAGATTACAGCATACCTACCAAACAACTAACTATGAAGATGCTACAAAAACGACGACGAGAATGCTCTGACGCTTAGGTACACGCTTTATGACTTATTATCCACACCAATCCCCAGACAAAGAGCAGGCAAACGAAATGCACTTTGGTCGGTTGCAAGGTGTTCATGCTAGCTTCAGAATGTCAATAAAAAATGAGGACTACCCAAGAGATGTTGAAGGAATGAATCAAATACTTACGCTAACTGCTTGTCGAGTGAGCTTAAATGGTCAAGAAGCCTCATGCACACGTTACGAGGAGTCGTCTCCAAAAACGACTTCACCATTACATCTTGTTACTTGTACAGACAATCGGTTGCAATAAATTTAAATAGTGGAAATCACTTGATCATCACACAAGAGCAGTGCTGGAACTTTATGTGATCGGGAGTTAGAATGCGACAAGTCCTAGGATTTGAAACCAGCGCAGAAAAATGTGATGGCAGCCAAAATAGTCAGGCGTCAGCATGGATCAAAGCAGGGTGACCGAATTATACAGTAGAAAGCATATACCACGCAAAAAGTGATGTGAAGTAGCGTAACGAAGAAACCTTGACACGATATTACTAGTTGCTGTCTTGTAACAAGGCAAGCCGCGTTTTTATACATGAAAGTGCGGTCATCAGCATTTTGCTTGGAGGAATACTCGGTAAATTTGAAGGATGCCACGCCGTGAGAGCGGTTGGTGCTTGATGTTTGCGCAATGTGTGTCGCAGCCTTGTAACAATGTCAATGCTATCTCTGTCCATTATCGAACATAGTTGGACGGAACGAAAAGCTCGAATGGACGCAACTAACACACAGGCGACAACGACTCCGGCCAAGGTGGACGTCGACTACGTGCTTGTGGACTTTGAGCCGCTTCACAAACAGCGTTGGCGTAGTGAGACAGTGCGCCTCGTGTGCGTGGAGTTCCCACCACACACGCAGAGTTTGTGGCACCAGCACCTGAACTACGGTATCTACGTAGTCATAACGCCGCTCAACGCGACGGAGCAACCGTACGGAGAGGAGCCACGTCCACTGGTACATGACAAGGGTTCTGTTTTCTGTCGCGACCATACGAAGGACAAGCTGCTGCATGTCATTACTAGTCACGAGACACCGCTCTTCATCGTAGAGGTGGAGCTGCTGAAAAAGAAAGAAGATGTCATGGCTCACGATCAGGTGTCGTTGCACGCCAGCAAGGGCGTGGAGGTGCTGAATAACGAGCCGGAATGCCGTGTGTATCGCCTCGTGCTCCAATCCGATGCTAATGATGACCAGTCGACGATCGAAATCTCGCTCAACCTGCCAACTGGCGCTGTGTTAGTCGTGCTGGATGCTTGTGAGGTAAAAATTACCAATGCGTCAGATAATCCGTCCGTTGATACAGAGTGTACACTTGGCACTAAAGGTTGCAGATGATGTCCAGCTGACCGCTGGCAGATTTAATCTCAAACTCGTGTCATCCAGCTCGAATAAGACGGAATTTATTCTCGCTGAGGTCTACTAAGAAAAAGACAGAGTTTATTCTCACTGAGGTCTATCAAACTAATGAAGTTTTAGTGTTCAAGGCAAGTGACAACAACTCGTTGTTTCGAGTGTTATCTATAGCGTGCAATATTACAGAAACGTCGGGAACACTATCGTAATCATATTGCATGTGGTCGAGATTCCTACATCAAAACAACGAGCGGTGATTGGTTGGCTTTTGACCACCGACGCAGTATAGTTAGTTTTGATTGATCAAAAAAGGCAAACCAATCAGCCAATGAAATGTATCGATTTGTCAAATCCTTCGTGTGCATGAATCAGACAGATCCAAAGCTTCACCATGGCTTCCATGTCGTTCTATTCGCTCCTATTCTCCGTGGCCTTGAGCTATTTGATCACCATCACTAGTGCACATGGTCCAATTATTGGTACCATTGCACATCCGGCCTCGAAACATGGTGATTACATTGCGGCGTCGTATGTCAAGTGGGTTGAGAGCGCTGGTGGTCGTGTGGTCCCTATTCCGTATAACGCGCCGAAGCCATACATTGAGCAGCTGCTGCCGCAACTCAATGGTCTTTTGTTCCCTGGTGGTGCTGCTGACGTGAATGAACGCGCTGAGTGGCTATTTCAATTGGCGCTTGAGCTTAATGACAAGGGCGTTTACTTTCCTGTGTGGGCCACTTGTCTGGGCTTTGAATGGATCGTGCAACTTATTACAAAGGACGTGCATTCGTTGGACAATGGACTTGACGCCATGAACATCACTCTACCTTTGGATTTTACAAAAGAAGCTCCGACCAGTCGATTGTTTAGTCAGGCCAGTCCAGAGCTTTATGCATGGCTCAAGAACAAACCTATCACTATGAACAATCACAAGCACGGCATTGCTGTCAAAAGGTTCAATCAATACTCTTCTCTCACAGAGTTCTACACTGTGCTGTCCACCAATGTAGATCGTCAAGGGATCGAGTTTGTTTCGTCTTTCGAGGCCAAGAAATACCCGGTTTATGGTGTGCAATTCCATCCTGAGAAGAATGCCTTCGAGTTTGGAAAGTACCCGGATGGTACTCCGTACGAGGTCATTGATCACTCGCGTGAAGGTGTCGCGAGTGGACAGTTCTTTGCCAATTTCTTTATTGACGAGGCTCGAAAAAATGAGCTACGCTTTGAAGACCCCAAGGTGGAGCGCAAATCGTTGATTTACAACTACCACGTATCAACTATTAAGGACCCAGTCTTTGTCGAGTCGTACATCTTCAAACATGACTGCAATAAGAACTTTTGGAGCATTTAGGGATGAATACAATCAAGTTGGCGACGGAGGCTATAGATTGCAGTAATTAAAAAATGAAATGGTATTGCTTTGGATATCCGCGTGTGTACCAAGTTGATAGATGAAGCTAATAGACCTCTGCCAAAACGAACTGCGTCTTTGTCGTGGCCGAAGACATGAGTTTGACTCCAAACTTGCCAGCATTGAGGTGAACATCACCCCCAACTTTTAGTGCGATCTCGTACGTCGTATCCTCTTGCTTCGTTGATGCTGTGCAGATTTCCACTTTACAGTCGTCCAGCGCTAACAACACGGCTTCAGTCGGCAGGTCAAGGGAGATTTCAGCAATTCTGTCGATACCATTCTGCAATGTAAAGCGATACACACGGCACTCTGGTTCGTTGTGCAAAAGCTCGATTCTAGAGTGTAGCGACATGTGTCCATTTGGTATGATGTCAGCCTTTTCTTTAAGCAGCTCGACTTCAATGAGGAATGCAGGCAGCTCGCTGGTAGTCGCTAAATGAATCAACTTGTCTTTCGTATGGTCACGACAGAAGACAGCACCTTTCATTTGCACGAGAGGTCGTGGCTTCTGGCCATAACAATGCTCGACTACATTGAGCGGTGCCATGACCACATAAATGCCGTATTTCAAGTGTTGATGCCACAAACATGTCGTATAGGGAGGAAATTCCACACACACGAGTCGCACGGTGTCAGTGCGCCAGCGCTGCTTGTGCATTGGCTCGAAATCTACCAGAACGTAGTCAACGTCCGGCTTCGTCTCGGCTTTAGGCGCCTTCGTATTCATCGTGTGGTGCTTTTCTCTTCTAACTGTGGAATTTGGACGCCTCAATATCATACATAAGCGAAAAAGCTGGATGCTATATTGTTAAGTTGGAATCGGGGCTACGAGCCGTCACCGACAGCGCAAGATTCTTGATACAAACGCTTATATAATCTTGACGTCTAGCTCAGAATTTTGCTACCAATTATGCAATGGACAGCGTAAAAAGGTTTCTTCTACGCGTCATTTTTGCCATCTTGTAATAGAAACTAACAGCGAACAAAACCAGTTATTTGAGCTGTTAAGCTATTGCTGTGAGACTAGTGGATGTCCCTGGAACTTGCTGTTAACAATAAAAAGCTTCGATGGTCATTTGCTAATCTTGGTCAAGCATGCCATTGTGCTGTGCTTGTTGACATTGCAAGTCGCGATAAATAATGATTCATGGTAAGAGTCCTTTTTCGTTATACTTTGTTCACGATCGTGTGTGAGGCTTGCTTGAAGCGGTACATGCCCGTAGAAGCAGTCTCATCGAGATTCGAGACTGCATCACTCTTTTGAACCGTTGTGCATCACAAGCTGATATTTCTGGTGCTTGGGTATCAAGAATAGACTGGCATTCACGCTGTTCACATGCTAGCGCGTCTGAGTGTTTTGTAAGACCTGAATCGACCGTAGATGAAATATACGAAGCTTCATCTGCGAGATCTGTAGGGCAAGGCCGTTCAACCACCAGCGTGAAGTATAAAGATTCAATTGTCAAGGCTGTATGATATATTTCGTTGACTCACGTGGGGTTTGCACAACGGACTTTCCTTTCCCCGTCATGAGATTTACTCGTTCCTGCTCTCCAGGACGCCAGGCTGTGTATATTGAGAGGCAGGCGATAACAAGACATTCATTACGGCAATCTCAAGTTTTAACTGTTGATAAAGATTGTCCAGATAGAAAAGCTGCCATCTTTGTGACTTTCACATTAAGGTTCCTCAACATCGAGCTTTTGGCTCACGCAAAATGCTCTATTCATGAAGCTCGATGCATAGGTTGCTTGAATCGAGAAACTGAGAGCAAAACAGCAATGGCTGTCCCAACTGAGTGAGGAATCCATGAGCGGCCGGGGAGACGGGAGGAAGTTTGACCGCATGGTCCAACCAAACACCTAACGGCCTTTCATTCGTTTCATCAATAAATTGACTCTTGAAAATAAGATAGCAGCCAGATGAGGAAGTATTGATCAATCGTGTAATGTCAACGGATACCCGCGGACTAAACAGAAGAACATTATACGTGAAAATGGAAATGTACAAATATTCGCTACTTCAACTTCGTTGCAACCTTGTGGATCCAGTCCACAAGCAGCGGGAACAAAGCAGACACACTGTCATTGATGAGACCCAAGAAAAACTGCTCTGCCTGCTCGTCCGTTAAATCCAAACGAAACTTTTCCTCAACCTTCAATAAAGTTGTAGCAGGGTTCGCTGATAACTCTTCGATACCAGAGTCAGCCATCAAGCTGAGTAAGTTCAAAATCAAGATCAGCACTCTTGCGCAACCAATTATATGCTTGGCAGCAATACGTCGTAAATTTCTGGTAATGCTCGCTCGTGGGGCCGCCCATGCCTTCAACCATCTCTTTTGTCAGCTTAAACGGAGGTGGATAGGGCTTTGGATCAGCTCCAAAGACAAAGCCAAAATCAATGTGGAACATGTGGCCTTCTGCCTTCATCATCAGATTATCCAAGTGACGGTCACCAATCCCAAGCAAATACGTCAAAACACAATAGCCGGCTACTGATTTCACGTAAGTGCTGAGCGATTCCGGTGCAATTCCAAACTCTGCACTCGGATCCGGATTATGCTTCCGTAAAAAGGTCACGATCTGTGGCGATTCAAAGTGAGAGACCACATACGAAACGGGATACGAATTCTGAACAAACTCCATCAGACCATCATTCGCACCTGTTGCTAAAATACGGTACGGTGTCAACTTCAAATCTAAATTCACTTTTTTCAGCAACCGATCCATCAGAATAAACATTTGCATGATCAGCTGATCTTGACGAAGATCGTCGCCGTTCTTTACCATGAACTTATACATCGGTCCTTCCTTTTCACGGTGCAGGAGACTGATCATGCGGGTCGGTAACGATTCACGCGCAATGCTCATATCACTTCCACCAAACATCGACTGACTTATGTTTGGTGGATGATGGCCTTCGCCTTCTCCACTGATTAGGTGATACGGTTGATCAGTCGGCGGAATCAAAGTCTGGAATTGAATCACGGCCGGGTACATTGCACTTTTGAACATCTTCGCCGAGGAAGCAACGACTCCACTTAAATGAACTACTGGATCCAAAGGTAGAGAGATAATAGTCCCTTTAGGCCACGGAAGCTGCTTCAAATACTGCCGCAGCTTCTCTTCCTTTTGATCCTTTCTGCCCTTCTCTTCGCGAGCCTTGTTGTGAATTGCCAATATGTGACTCATAAAATCACGCTGAGCCATTAGCATGTCGTAAATCGGTTTCTTCTCCTCGTCTCGCTTCATTTCGGTCAGCATCTGGTTTAAAACAGTGTGAAAGATCTCCGAGTCGTTTGTTTGCTCACCTGCTTCCACTTTTAGGTACCAATAGAAATAGTTGGCCATTTGAAAGTTTGTGCTTGAGCGTGCAATAAGGAATCGAGCAAGTGGACCAAGGCTTTCACAAGCCATCGATCCATCCGTGCTGCCAGTTTCATCGCCACTCATTGCTCCACGCGAAGATGTAATGCCAGCGCCAGGTTTCTCGTACCGTAACGCTTGGACGAGCTGTAGCAGAAAGTCAAGCAAGTCTTCGTTCTTGGCTGTCGCTAAAGTAGACACCGCAAAATGGCGCACAATCTCATGCTTGAACTCCTTCTCACGACCCAACAGCTTGAGAGCGTCGGCAATATCAATCTCACACCATTGAGAGAGTAGATCTGTCGCTTGCTTCACCTCCAACTCGTCTTTCCAATCAACTGACAGCAAAAACTTCACTACCGCCTTTTTATTGTCTGTCAAAGTGTAGCGAAATTTCCAAAGCAAATCCTTGTCTTCATTCTTCAGATTGTCGGTCGGCGTTGCCAGCAAAAGCTCAATCCGTGCCTTCTCGTCACGACTGGGCTTGAGATTGGGATCAATCGATCCGCGTAGAATGTCGCGAGCGAGCCGACGGTACTTGCGTTCGGCCGGGTTATCTTCATTCAAATCAGGATCCCACACGGTCACAAGACTCGGCAGCTCTCTCGATCCAGCTGACGCCACATTTGCTAGATCGTACGACCCACTGAGGGTGTGAGAATCATACGACGCAGTAGCCGACGAAACATTTCCGTTCTCATAGCTCATCCGTTTGGGTCCCATTTCTGCAGTATATGAAGACGTCAGATTGCGCTGTGAGTAGGGCTCCTCTTCATATACAACGACATCTCCAAAGTAGGGCATCTCAAGCCACAAAAGGGCGTCTTTGCGATATGAACAAAAAGGTCCAAGTGCGTCCTTTCTTGTCGGTGGTTCACTGCCTCGTCGAATCCGAGCGATGCGTCGATCGGTGACGCTGTCCATCCACTCATTGCGCGCAATTTCTTTGCGCTCATACTTCTCTCGCAGCTTGTCCAGTCGAAAACACTCTTGTCTCACCCACTCTTCGTCAATCTCAGATGGGGTTGCAGTGTTTGGAGACGAATCTGCCTCACGCCCTTCCCAAATGCGGAGACATTGCACACCGTCGCGCAGTACGCCCTGTTTGGTAAAGAAAGAGATGGTTGAGCCACCGATCGGAACCCAGCCGACACCCCAAATAGTGATAGCCAGGAGCGAATTGCATGATAGATCGCGATATCGCACAGGAAAAGAGATCCATTCATTCCAGTAAATGGTAGAATTGCTGCACTTGGTCGGTCCCTTGGAGCTATAAAGAGGACGTAAGAAAACATATCAATTCTTTCTTTCTTATAATCGTAAAAGCCATTGAAAAGAAGCACCAAGAACAACAACATGCACATACATACCTGACTACCATCGAATGCAATGGAAGACCATCAGAAAAGACCTGAGCAGTTAAAAAGATCTCACTTACGGGTGAATTCCGCACCTCGGATGATGAACCTGCAAGTTGTTCTAGCCCAGCAAAATGCGCCTCGGATACTGCACGTTTAGGTGCATCACCACTGACAGAGCATCCAAGTGCAGGTGCCAGCTCTATTAGTGAAACCTTGACGGAGATCCCCGTACTTACGCCGCTACTAAGATAATAGCGATACTCCTTAAGACGGCTCGTCATGGTTGCACTTCCGAATTGACGACAAGAAGAAAGTTGTAAATGTTGACTGAAGGTAGGATTCGATCAAATGGGTCATAAAAAACCTTGGTGTGGTATAGGTGTTGCTGAAGCCATGTTGAATGCGTAGCCATCGAGAGGGAGTCTATCCAACTCTTACTAAATGCAGCAAAGCCAAGTATCATTGGATGACATTCGTCGTGTTAACATGCATTTTACTAGTGTCTAGCTTTGCTATACAATCTCGTGCATTTCAAGTCTCTTGCGGCAATAATACTAAGGCAATGTCTTACACGTCTTGGTGCCTGCGCGTCGCTTCAAAATTGTTACGTTCAAGGCTTGCAATTGGTATCGGAATTTTGGCGAGCAAAATGAAGAAATGAGCTGTGGATATTGCTTTAAAATGTCTGCCTCCTAGCACAGTAACCAACATTTTGCTTTGACAATAAGCGCAAATGTACCTTGCTAGCTATACAATATCGTCATCTCGAGCATACATGCCGAATCAAATGCATTTTCACGGCATTTTGCGTCACCAGAACCAGCCGAAGGCCAAAGTGGTGGAAGTGGGCGTGATGTGGTGACCACGGTGGTGCCTACTTTATGAGATTACCCTTGTGTGTTTTCTCTGCGATCATTTACAATGCCACTGTTTGAGACATACTTGCACGGTGAAATTTGTATGTCGCTTCGTAATGTCGTTAAGCAATGAAGCGAAATTTTGCACAGAATAAACCCAATTCATGATGTCTTGCGTACGTTTGTATTTGTAGGTAGTCCACTTGCACTACAATAAGAAACTATGCTTTCCGTCTTCCATAAACGCTCCGTATTCTTAAATTTATTAAACAGCAACTTTGCTGTCATAAGAGCGCAAATTCGCAGCCTCGTCACGTCCTTCTCGCTGAGCCACACAGCAAAGGTTCGGACTAGGCCGAAAAGGTACCTACATAAAAAGACCAAGTCGCTCGGAGCTTTCCAGTCGTTGTCAAAGGTTCATGTTCCACCACCACAACAGCAATCAACGCTTTTGTAAACCCATTCGCGCTTTGTTGCCTTACAATATGTAATGCAAGCTTGCAAGGCTTCTCGTGCTAATGATGAAAGAAACAATATACATACGGGCTTTTTTGAACACTATGAACAAAGTATGTATTGTTATTTTTTGGCTGAGGGTTGTAGACTAAAGATAAAGCCAGGGGTCAAACTGAAGCTACCGACAAGATTAGCTGCAGTTTATCAGCAGTAATGCAAAACTCAAGCAGACTAGATTTCCAGCTACATCAAAGCTATAAGTTGAGTTTGCGCTCGTACGACATTAAAAAAACTGCGTGTAGCTGCTTTGTAACATTTACACAAAACGAAAACAAGAAACGTAAAGGCTTGACTTGAAATATGTTGTCCATTTCTGGATAGTAACCCATTTTAGTCACTACACTTGATCTTAGCCTAGGACTGAGAAGGTATTACCCATTTTAGTCATTGCGACTGCACGACGATGACGAGGGGGCGAGCATGCAGAAAAAGACCAAAATCAGTCCTTTCTTTGTGAATCAATTCGTACTTGGTCTTTGTATACTCTTCGCAGACCAAGCCGTGGCGTCGAGGCCCAGACTCTCGTGTTACACGGAGAGAGAAAAAGAGAGTGCAGTCCGTCCGTCAGGCTAAGTCTCCCCCCTCCTCATAGCTGCCCCTATCGCAGAGCAGAACGTACTTTTGACGTAAGCCCGCAGCTTCTCTAGGTCTGTGTGTGTTGTGTGAAGGAAGACTGAAAGGAAGGAACAGGACCCGACCCCCCTCCCTCCTCGTATACTTAGGTAGACAGCCCGGAGTCGCACCCATGTCGCGCAAGGGACTTAAAGGAAGCAGCACCATCGGTGGAAATGACGTGCTAACCATTGACCAACTGCGCCACCAGGATGACTGGGTGCTAGATACGGAGCGATACAGATGCCACGTGTGCACGCGTAACTTTACGCGTTTCCGGCGAAAGCACCACTGCCGTAAGGTACGACGGTATCGCTATATAAGAAGCCTAAGACATCAACTTGCTCACTATTAGTTATTGTGCCTGTGTGTGGTGCTTTATGTGAATTTTGTTGCAGTGTGGCGAGGTAGTGTGTGGTAACTGCACGCTGAAGAAAGAGGCGGAGCTGCCCGTCATCGGTCGATCACTTGTTCGTGTCTGCATGTCCTGTATTCTGTCGCATGCCAACGGCCAGAGTAATCCACAGCCGCCACCCATTGCTCCTACTTCTGGCACGGCCGGCACGGCTTCATCGCCACCCCCGCGTGAGGAACACTGGGAGGCACAAAATTTCCACTCGCCCACAGGCAACTCAGAGGGCGATTTGTCGCATTTTACTCGTGACTTTCAGCAGTCTGAATTTGACTATTCGCTGGACTTTAGCTGGGACCATCCGTGGCCTAAGCCTCCTACTGTTCCGGGCGAGTCCGACCGTCTTGAGATCTTGCGTGGGTTCGACATCATGGACACGCCCAGCGAAGACGTGTTTGATATTATCTGCGATCTTGCGAGCAACGCCCTCAAGAGCCCCATCGCGGCTGTAAGTTTGTTGGACGAGGATCGCGAGTGGTTTAAGGCCAGCGTGGGCCTTGCACAGAACGAAGTGCCAAGGTCTGTGTCATTTTGCGCGCACGCCATCATGTCTAAAGAGCCCATGGTCGTCATGGACACGTTGCTGGACAAGCGATTTGCAAAGAATCCGCTGGTGACAGGTGCGGCAAAGATTCGATTTTATGCTGGGGCGCCGATCTGCACGCCGTCTGGTCACCTTCTTGGTACGGTATTTGTGTTTGACACGCATCCGCGTAATACGTGTGATATTGCAACGCTCGAGAAGCTTTCGAACGTGGCGATGAAGAATTTGGAAGACCGTAAGAATGCTGTGGCTGCTCCTCTTGATAGTAGGGAGGCCGTGGAGGTCGTTGAAGGCGATGAGCAGCAGACAAATGTTCCAAAGCGCGCCGCTGAGCCGCTCCGAGAATCAGGGATTGGAATTGCAAACCAAGTGGTGGCTCAACCTGTTGCTGGCGCGTCACAAGATCTTGTGGCAGCTAACGCTGGTGATGGTCAAGTGACGGCAGGTCCAAAGATGGAGACGATGCTTATGGATCTGCTGTGCCGTACCACTGAGACGCAACAGCAGTTAGCAACACAGCAGGGAGCAATGTTCCATACACTAGGTCAACATACTGCTGACATCGACAAGTTGGCGACGGCGATGGCGCGTATGGAGGCAAAATTAGACGCAATGGTGGAGTAAAGCGGTGAGAATGGTAATGCGTGATGCATGCGCAGGCCAAGAGAAGTAGGAACAAATTGTGTGAGGTCACGAAAGGAAAAGAGAAAGCAGCAGATTCATTCATTCGCATATTTTTGATCATCTTGGAATTGTAGCGTATAAAAAAGGTAAGGACGGAATCAAGGCGACAATAACTTGTATGTACAGTAGAAGATCATGGACAGTCGTAACATAAAAAATGGTCTTCTGAATGAAAAGCTGATACTAAAGAGCTCTTATTTCGACAATCAGATATAGTCCATACTTTTGTGAGACTAACTTTCTTATCAGAGCAAGTTAACCTTTCTAGACACTGCTCAAAAAGGATAGAAAAAGGGCCAAAAAAGTCAAACTGTCAGTCAACAAATAGCCAACGATTTCCCAGCGCTAAAACTGATTACAGCAAATGCCCAGCGCAACGATCACAATGCTTTTATCTACGCTTATTATGTAATGCCCAAGCGCAGTAACGTAAAGGATTTGATGGTTCTTCTGTCGCGTAGATGCTACAATTTGAATAAGAAAGATGCCAACACGCGTATGGCTTATGAGTTAGAGACGTTAAAGTACAACTAAAAACTGCAAGAAAATAGTTGAGAGGATCTAGCCGATGCTGTCTTCTTGGTCATGACAATTGCATTCTACTGCTTGAAGGTCAAATTAAAGCCTCATTAGGCATCACTTATGGCTCGTGACGTAAAAGCTACTTGACTTTTGGCATCAAAACCGTAACGTTAGCTCAAATTGAAGCTGTTTGGTACAATATTGCGCAAGAAATGACTCAAGAACCTTTACGGACCCAATATAACAGGTCAAGACACAGTGGTCGTTGCACATGTAATAGCAGTACCGTAGCTTTACAGCAATCTCTTAGATGACTTCAAAAATTCTGGAGTGTAGAGCGGTGGGCATTTGCTTGCGAGAGAAAGAATAAATTTAGATGTACTGGGTCCTTCAATTTGGACGTAGACTATATGGGCGCTAACGTTCCCGTACACGAAATGGTACTCAATCTCTTTTAAGGCTTTATCAAGGATGTAGTTGCTCATTAAGAGGTTTACCAACAATAACTTGACGATTGCATAAGGCTACCTACTTGAATGTAAGAGTTTAGTAATAAAAATTGAAAGATTTATGGATTGTATTCAAAAATAAATCACAGACATTACTTTTTAGGTCCTTCGCTCGCACCCTACTTGCGTTTTTCAGCCTACTGACTATCTTGCGACCTCTATCGGTATATACAAAATTCTTACTCAACATAACAACAGTGATACGTGAATTTTAAATCTAACTCCAAAACCTTTACACTGCGCAGCAGACGATTGCCTTTTCATGAGGACTGCCAGTCTTTCATGCGTTCGGCAGTACTCCAACATCACCTGACCGTTTTTTTACCTTCTCACGAGCGATTTTTGGGAACAAATTTTGATGTTTTTCGTGCACTTGTATACATCTGGAATCCTAGCTTGACATATCTTCACATGTCTTCGTAATTGACAAGACTCGTTGCTTTCCATACCCACCCAGCTCGAATAAAATTCCTTTCGCCGTGCTGCTCAGTATTTGTCGACATCCGTAGATGCTCTTGTAGCATGAGCTACCAAAGAAAAGCTGCTTATCACGAAGGGCAGAGGAAGACAAGCTCTAGGAGCTATACGTCTTATGTTCTTTACCTTCTCAAGGCTAGCCTTACAAGTGTGGTGAAGCGTTTCAAGACTTGGTAGGCCAGAAGACCGGTGGGTCAAAGAGAAGAAGACCCACCAAGGAGGAGCGACCGTTAGGTAAGGGACAGAGAGACGGGACACTAAGAAAGGGACGGGGGACGACCGTTGGGTGAAAAAAATGTACGGCTTAAGCGTGCTCCATTCAGAGGTATTAACCACGGTTAGTCAGATGGACTGCGGTTTCTCGAGGTGCACCTGTCTTTTCGAGGTGAACCCTGGTCCCTCGTTGGTAGACCCTGGCCTTTCGTGGGAGACCCTGGCCTTTCGTGGGTAGACCCTGGCCTTTCGTGGAGAACCCTGGCCTTTTGTGGTAGACCCTGGTCCCTCGGTCACCAGGCCGCTCAATCACCCGGCTCCTCGGTCCCTCGACAAGCAGAATCAAGAATCAGGTCTCGGGGGTAAGGATAGAGTGAAGAAGTTAAAAGATAGGACATTAAATACTTGTAAAATTGCGATCTACATAGCACGACCATGTCGTGTTCTCAAGTGCCTACTAAGTCTACCCACCTGTTCCGGGAAGGGATATATTTTGGCTCCTCGTCGAAGACAGTTGTGTGGTGAGACCCAAGTGCGAATAGAACCCCAGTATAAATTTATCCTGCGGGTTCGTCCAAGTAGCACCCCCTCCAACTCAACTCGCTATTGGAAGCGGTCTCTCTACCCTAGTGGCCCGGGAGCAGGTGAAGGCCAGGCTGTTAACACCCCTGAGACATCAAGGAAGGAAAAGGCCACGGTTGAGTATCTCCACTGAAGAATTTGGTTATAAGTCCACCCTCGACCTAGTCGACCGAGTGGCCACCTATCCGCCTACCGAGTGAAGTATACCCACTCGAGGCACCCCAAGGTCGACCTCTCTCAAGGCCGGCATCACATCTCAACCAAGGGCTCCTAGCAGTGCAACCCTCCCGCCGACGGGTACACAAGGTGAGAGAAGGTTTATACGCGACATCTGGGTATACCGTGTGGCCCCTCATGACGACTATCGTACGCTTTACAATGAGGCCTTGCGCCACTACAAGGAAAAGGTCACATGGACCAGCCAGTACAACCAATACACTGTGTTTGACTTCCAAGCTGCCAACGCTGAGCAGCCAACTAAGCACAGCTTTTGTACGCTTGGATACGATCTTGCGACATGCCTCAATCGAGGCAGTTTTGACACCGTGTGGCATTATATCGACAGACCGTCAAATGTTTCTTCGCTACCTAAAACACTGGGGATCTGAGTTGGAGGACCTCGACATTCCGGCAGGAAGAGATGCACCACCTGATGACAACATGCAACGCAAAGCTCCTTGACTCGATCGTCTGCTTCGTCTCGGACGTCGATCATGCGATAAGTTGAACGCTCCGATTGCAGTATCAGACATGGCAAGTGCGATACGACACATGAACGCGTTGTCAGAGCCTGGCATGGACGGGCTGACTTCTGGCTTCTACCAGGTGGCTCCGATGGTGCTTGGCGAGTGCTTGAGCATCGTCTTTGCCGACCGTCTCCGCGGGGGGCGTGCTGCTTCCATCACAGCGGAGCTCATCAGTTGTGCTGCTACATAAGAATGAATCGCACACCGATCCGGGTAACTACCGACCGATCGCACTTGTACAAGTTGATGTGAAGGTGTTGTTCGACACACTGATGCATCGGTTGCAGAGCGTCGTACCCGACTTGATCCATCTCGATCAGAAGGGTTTTGTCAAAGGAGATCGATCCACCATCATATCCTGTTTCTCGCGTATCTACAAGAATTGGTAACGAGTCGATAATACAAAGCCTATGCGGTCTTCTTGGACTTCCAAAAGGCGTTTGATCGCGTCAACTGGGAATACATGTTTCGGCTGCTCGATCAACTGGGTTTTGACGCGGCGTTTTCAATAAATTTTGATGCTGTACATCGACCTTCAAGTGCATCTTCTCATCAACCAGAACATTCAGCCTGCGCTACATCCGACTCGAAGAGTGAAGTAGGGTTACCCGCTGTATGTGCTGCTCTTCGTCCTGATGATCGAGCAGTTGGGCAATTCGCTGTGCTCGCATGAGGGGTTTGGCGTGTGCTTGACTGCGGATCACACCGCTACGAGCATCTTCTATGCAGATGACTCGACTCTACTCGGTGGCTCAATACCAAACCTGCAGGCTCAGCTAGAGATTGTGGAGGGGTACTGCACTGGCTTTGGTGCGAAGTTGAGCCTGTCGAAGTCGACGCTGACGGCACTGAATAGGACCCGGCCCTGTCCTGTGCTTGCTGGGTCGCACGGGCTCATTCCTAAGGACACGGTGAAGTATCTTGTCATTTCTTTCGGTCAAGCTCTGGTTGACGACACCATCATCGGCTTTATTGAGCAGTGATTTTTTATGACGGCTTCAAGATGTGATACCTTCGTGCACGAACGCTTCGTGGTAGGGCATTAGTCGCTCAAACGATGGTGCTTTCGCCTATCTGGCACCATATGCAGCATGTATCGATTACTGCGACGGTGGTGAAGCGGTGGCAGTCGATGCTGAACTGGTTTGTGCTGAAAGCGAAAGCACGACCACGATGCGTTGCACATACAGCTCATACAGCGCAAATACCTGCACCTACGCAAGCGAAATCGCATCCCCAGCCTATATGCAGAGCTAAAACGACAGCTTCTTGCGTTTTTGCTGCAGTTTGTGTGTGCGGCGAGCACATGACGTCGGACCCGGGCGACAGCAAGTGTTGAGCTGCTTACGTCTGTGCTTCCGCATTACGGTGACCGCACATTCTTGGACTTCCTTGTGATTTCCCCGCTTCATCATGGTGCATTGATCAAGTGGAGCCTGATGTTGTCCTGGTACAAAGCGACGTGGATCTGGTAATACAAGACGCGGTGGGTGCTGATGTGGCGCGACTTTCCTTTGAGGAGAATACTTCGTACAGTCTTCAACAGCCGATCTGGTTCCACTCATACGCTGCACTGCACTATGAGCAACATTCACGGACTCTCACGCGATCCGCTCACCGCCGATGTCTTGGGATGGTTTTCCTGAGCCTCATAAAAGCTTTCATCTTTACGTGTCTCGTGTCTTTGGGGTCCGCTCCCTAGCTGACTTCTTGTCTGTAGGTTCTGGCCGCCGCAGCAAGATGTTGGAGAGCTGCACATTGATTTCACGCTCGTGGCTCCCTCACCTGGCCAATAGGCGAAGCGGATTCGTGTGCTGTACACTGAAGCCACGCGATCGTTGAGCGTCTGTGCGCACGAAATTTTGTGCTGCTGGCTCCTCTGTCTACGCGA